TCGTTGGAAAGATCTCGAGCTCACCTATCAAAGGACTCCACCCCTGATACCGTAAGTGCTCCGACACACTGAAAAAAACTCCACCGGAATGACCAAAAATGGAAACTTTTAAATTTTTAGGTGAACTTTTCCCTATGTGGTGGAAGTCAAACAAGTCTCTTGCTTATCCAATGCACCTGAATGAGGAGTGCAACTTACTGTAACGAGAGATTTGCCTTTTCCCTCACCACACAAGGATGTCTGGGGGTCCAAATTCCCTACAATTCACATTTTTAAACTCAACTAGAATACTGAAATCTCGTTCAAACTCAATTACGTATGAAGAGGATTGTTCGCCTATCAAATACCTCCGGTTGAAGCTATTGCACGCCTCCGTGCGATGAACCGTTTCTAAGATGGACATTTTGCCGTCTATGGGTTTGTCATTTTCCTGGCCGATATCTCGCTAACCATAGATCCGATGGAGGTGATTATTTTTTTTTTTTACCGGATTGTTAGTCACTGCAATCGCTTAGAGATTTTATCCCGAATTCCGAGATGGTCGGGCGCCATACTATGCTTAAATTGGTTGAGTTTGTATGGAATGACCCATCGATATAACTACACTTGCTACAGATTCAGTTTTCCCAGGAATGCGACGATTCACGCCTTCGGTTCCCACCCTGATCAATGTCTGATGAAAGTCAAGACGGCGATGTGTCACGAGGTCTTTGCGCCTGCACTTTATCAGTATTGCACCCTGCAGTATCAACCAGTGACCGTGAACGTCGCCGTCACCCACGACTACAAGCTAATGCTATTGTAACTTTGCAGAGCTTTGTTGAAATCACGTCTGGTTTGGCACAAGAGACTTTCGACGCAATCGCGCCTTAAATATCGTCGACGGTAAATATCGTCGTCAAGCGAGAAGGTATCGCAAGAAAACCCGCCGAACTCTTTTATTAGACGTTTTCAAGCGATTATGCTAAAATGAGTAGGTATTACACGTTTTGCATTGCTGTAAACATGTATGAACCACTATGTAGGGTATAGAATCTAAGAAACCTCTATAACTCGAATTCTCGATAGCTCGAATTTCCCTTGAACTTCGAGTTATCGAGAGTTGACTGTATACTGTGTCACGTGCACGGGACGCAGTGGGTCGGATTGTATCAATCACTCAAATAGATACAAAGAAACGACCTACCTTCTCCAACTTTCTATGTGATTTTAGGCAATTCACTTTCTAAAAAGAAAAAATATATATATATAATTACCTTTAAACTCTCTCAACGTCCCGCACCGGACAAAACTCCACGAACTCCTTTTGATGAGCGAGATTCGTGCCTGTTCCAAGTTCGAGAAGGGAGTATCACCACACCGAGTCTGATTAATTGATTTATTATGAGAATTGAATCAATTTCACTGAAAAAAAAAGAACACAAAATAATGTAACATTGACCCTTGGAGGACAGTGTCGAAATAAAAGGAACAAAATGTATTAGGAACCCTAATCAACAGAAAAAGAACCGGTCCGTCTCGCATACACAACAAAGGGAATGAATTTCGATCTTTAAGGATTTAGATAAAGATTTACCCCAGGTTTAATCAGTCAGGTCAGTAGACAATTGGGGACAAAGTTATTCCCATTAATTTCTGGATCCAGTTTATAGTTCATGTACATGTCAAAGAAATGGGTTCGAAATGGGGTAATTCCATAAACAATGTGCGGTGTTAAAGTTTAATCTTGATTCCAACACATGTCGGTTAACATGGATGTCAGAACAGGACCTCGACTAAAACGTTAGCAATTTTCCTTCATTAAGAGGCAATTAGCCTAATACTGGTTCAAGTAGACACGTGCTCTCATGACATACACCAATACTATGTACAAGGGTCACATTTGAACATGTAGGGCTACAGTCACTTCCATTTTGTGACAAACCTTATGCTCGTAGAAAAGGCAAACATTCCGAATTCTTGTAGCACTTTTACATATTGGGTGCTTTGTAAGGTGGCTTCACCAAAACACCTCTCTGCCTCCCTCGGAATGCTTCTAGTGTTTCCGAAGAAGAGGGAGAAAGGCGACCATCGAACATTCCTGTGATGGTACATTCCCCTTGTCATAAAGTTGTCCTTCCCCTTTTTCCCGTCTAAACGAATTGGTCATCCCGTCCGCCCCTCGCTAGCGTCCAAGGTCTTCCTTTCTCCTTCGCTGCTCCGTCGTTGCACTACTTCATCCCATCATCTCCGTGAATCAGATTTGATAATCCTATTTGATGAAGTTGATTTGACTTCGGTATCTGGTCCGCCACGTTACACTGTATATAGCGTGATATAATTGGACCAGTGCATGATTTCATTTAGAGTTCGACATTACGAACGAAATGATGTGTCAGTCCATCTTTGGGCATTCATTGGACGTCCAGCAAAGGAACTTCCAAGGACAACTTCTCACGGTCTACCATTGGATGTCCTTGGATGGGGTCCCCTCCCCGTTGAGGCCTTCCATCTAGCTGTCCTAGCAGTTCATTCAAGAAATATATACGGTAGTTCCCATAATATAAATGTGGTCGAGCTCATCCCGCGGATGCATGTCTCCCGATTCCCTAAATGCGAACGAATTGTTCTGCGGAAGCTTTCATCCTCTACTCGATAATTTTCCACGTACAAGCCTAAGGAAGGAAGTCATTCTAATTAATTCATTCGTTGAGAGACGTAACGTAGCTCAAGGAGACTCCCTGCAATTCTTGCACATTCCATGGAGAGAGTGTGGTTCCTCTCGTCAAGTAAGTCTATTTCTTGCTTATGTGAGCCACGTCGTCTCTGGCGATGGGGAAAACAATCTCTTGATCGGGATATTAGGATGGATATTCGAGAGCTTCGTCTCAGTAATACTTCCTTTCCATCCTAACGCTTCTCTCCTAGTTCTTCCTAGGACCGTCTCAAGTAGCAATTTTGAGCAAAAATAAATCCATTGGACATGCGGTCATGGACACATGAACATCCACTGTATATCTTCTTCGGACATCCACTGGATGACTAAATGTCTCGTCCAAGGATAATCTTTGGACATGTCCATTGGATGGCCTATTAGATGTCCGTTTCTTTGGAGAATTGGAGATTCCCTGTGGGAAAGCCTTTGGATGACCATTGAGGGGTGTAACAATAGCGATCCTCCAGGTAGCAATGGAGTACATTTTGCATGAACATGTATACTATGGCAAAGGAAAGAAGCATTACAGCGAATTTCTGACCTCGCCGTTCGGAGATCAAAGGCTCCGTCTCCCACGTCCCTAAAGGGATCCGAAGAAAAAAATTAGGACGGAAAATTCCTGAGTGAATTCTCTCAGCTTTCCGTCCTAGCCTCCCCCACATGAGGATATACCAAGGGGGGATCGGAGAGGGGAGGGGGAGTAAAATCTTGCACATGTGATGACGTCAACGAAACGTTCCACTATAAAAGCGGGCGCTTTGGCTTTGATGACCTCACTACCTCGATGCTTAATGTCAAGACAGGTCGCACACTTTGTCATGTCTCTCACAGCCGTAATACATATACTCTCGTTTGTCAGAGCCACCTACCCAAGTAGCCATTTTGATCCAAAAGAAATCCATTGGATATATCCTCATGGACACTTGGACAGCCAATGTATATCCTCCTCGGACATCCACTGGATGACTAAATGTCTTTTCCAAGGAAAATCCTTGGACGCGTCCATTGGATGAACTATTGGATGTCCGTCTCTTTGGTTCCATTGGAGATACCCTTTGGGAAAGTTTTTGGATGACCATTGAGGGGTACAGCGATAGTAATCCCCAGCTAGCTATGGAGTGTAAACTTGCATGCTCACGAATATTCATGGTGTGAGAAAGGAGCATTTTCCGCATATCGACAATCACGCCCTCGCACATTCCTTGGAGAAACTACTGTAGAAGAGATGGAGAATGAAATATTGAATCGAGACTCTCCACTTCCCCTCCTTGGCTCTGGATCAAGACATTATTTATCCTGTCATCATAGGCGACATGGTTTTAAAGGACAAAGAACTGACTTACTTGATAAGGGGAACCACACTCTCACCATTCAATGTGCAAGAATTGCCGAGAGTCTCCTTGAGCTATCTTATGTCTCTCAACAAATTAATTAATTAGAATGACTTCATTCCTTTGGCTTGTACGTGGGAAATTATCGAGTAGAGGATGAAAGCTCACGCAGAACAATTTGTTGGCATTTTGTGAATCGGGAGACATACAGCGTCGGGATGACTGCGACCTCGCTTATATTATGAGAACTTTATATTCCTTGAATGAACTGCTAGATGGCAGGTCAGATGGAAAGCCTCAACGTGGCGGGGACTCCGTCCAAGGGCATCCGACGGAAGACCATAAGAAGTTGTCCTTTAAGGTTCCATTGCTAGGCGTCCAATGGATGCCCAAAGGACTGACGCATCATTTCGTTTCAATTGTCGAAATCTAAATGAAATCATGCACTGGTCCAATTATTGATATGTCACACGATCTATGTATTGATTGACGTTATTGGGTTGCGACCTAAGATGGGAGATTAGAAGAAAAAAAAGGAACAAAATAAATCCCACGATCGGATCCTCGTAACGACATTCCATAAAACCTCCATTCAATAAGTTGGAAATAATTGAGCGTTCGATGTAGGGAAATTTTGCTCGAATAAAGCTCAGAATGCATGAGAATATATCGATCCATAGCGATGGCATCCTATGTACATCCAAAGGACGACCACCTCTGGACTTATATCCATCTCTGGACAACTGGACTGTCTATGCATGAGTTTTGGATCACCCATGGCTATTTGGGTAGGGTAGTTCAACATGACGGTAGAACTTGGATCATTTTTAGCTGGAAACTGTAATGTGTTTTAACCATGCTCAGGATTGCTATTTCTGAAAGCTATGAGAACAAGGAGGGCAAAATGCTGCAAAATCAACAGTTTGAAGGCATAATGATGCTTAAATCCAAATGGAATAAGACTCAAAACATGGTAGAAATATATAATTTCTTTATACGTAGATGTTTTATGTAATTGAGAATTAAATAAAAATATTTTAGCACTTTAAACAGATGGGTGGGATAAGACAGATGGAAGTGCACTCCATGGAATAGAAATATGAGAAATCAACAGAGATGCCAACTAGGGAAAGAAGAACTGACCTCTGACAAATAGATCAGCAAGGCAAGTTCAAATAATGACCCTGAACATGCAGAAGTCAGAGGAATAAAGACACAATCCATGTGAATTGAAGATACAGATGCATGTAGTTCCTTGTTCACTTAATTTCATTCAGAGGTGGCATTTCATGGATTGGGAAGTCCAGTAGCATCTGTCCAAGTCCCTTTCCTTGGGGATCAAAGCGCAGGGATGCAACTCCTCCCCCACCAAGAGAAGATTCCAACACAAAGTTCAACCCAAGGATCCCAGGCACCTCATACCTTATAAAAGCCAATGTGTTTCTTCATTTTCATTGCTGCAGAGAATCCTATCAAAGTGATAATCGAGGGTTTCTTACCTCTTGACAAAAGAGGCTTGGGTTCTTGTGCTGTCATGTGGGAAGAGATGGGCAAAATATTCCCCAAGAGCCTCTTCTGTCAAGGCCTTCCTCAAATATGGAAGAAACCCAGGCTTCCTAGCAATCACACCTATATCACAAATGCACACACCCTTAATAAAAATCTCACAATATGTGCAACATAAAGCAAGCCTTGTATACCAAAAAGCAGCAGCATATTTTTCTTTGGGAGTATGTTCCCCATATTGGGGAAAATTTTTGAACACAAAGGAACATCATTGGAAAGTATTTGCCCATGCAAGTTTGCAAACAAACCAGTGGCATATGGGTCATTTCCATGTCAAATCAACTCACTTGGAGGACATTTTTCAGGTGACCCCTTCTGATTTGGATGAAATTTGGTGTACCTATCAACAATGGTAAGAAACTAACCTACATCAAATATTGGGTTCATTGGACCCCTGGTTCCTCTGGTATGAGGTCACAAAATTCGAGGCTGAAATGCCTTATACTTGTAACCCAATTCAGTCTCCTTGAAACTTCTGTCCTAATTAAGCTAGAGAGCTCATCTTAGCCTCTTTTTTTTAAGTCTTTTCCAGTCCTCTCCATTGGTATTGATAAATTTTGGTGAATAATAAAAGTTATCATTCAGTAAGGAGGTCATTCTGATGACCTTTGACCTCACATTATCAATAGATTTTGATGAATTGAGTAAAAAGTAGACAATACATATGGCTACCTCTGTAAAACATTTTTAATTGGGCACTTGGTAATTTTTGGAGATAATTAAAATAATTACAATATGATATGGTACAGAGAGCAAGAGGGCCCATGACTGTATCCTAACTCTGGGACATCAGCTAACCCATCCTCCCATCTACACCCTCCCCCCTGTAACTTCAGCAAACACAAGTAGCTTTGGGAGACTCAATTTGACCCATGTGCTTATTCTGGGAATACACTACCTGAGGTTTGGTCTTCACCATTGGGATCTTTAATGTCCCATATCCTTAGATGGGAGTGGCAAGGGCTTAGGGGTCTCCTCTCCCAAGCACGATGGGCCTTGCACTTGCAAATAAACATGAGACTTGCTTTTGGTTCAAACCTGAGTACCCTGCTATGTGAGGCAAGCACATCATCAACCAAGCCACTTGCTCACTTGCCCCAACTGGCAGGTGATTGGCTTAGAGCTGTTTGCATGAAATCCAATAAACATAATATATTCTACTTCATGATTGGGATCTATGGGAATGCATTTAACTGAGATGATATTATTTTCATTAAATTCCATGTAAAAATGAGCATTTTAAATTTGATTTTATGCACACAAATGCTGTGCATGTAGCATTGTACCTATATAGAATAAAGTTTTCACTATAATGCTTGGAAGTGCAAAACAAAAGTTGTCTTTGTGGCATGGCTTCAGCAGGTATGTGAAGCTGGTCAAGATGATAGCTGACAATGCTGAGCACCACAAAAAATAATTATGTACAGGGTGTTCCATAAGTCCCTTGACACCCCCTTTTTCTCTTGTGAATAATAGTGAAGAATAGTGGCAGCAAAATAAAACATATGCCATTTGAAACAACATTCATATTGACATTTAATAACCCTCATTTGAAAAATTGGGAATCATTTGGAGATCAAGGGGATCATTATGAGCACCATAGTTTTTTGAAACCAGAATGATGAAGTGCCAGGTGCGACGAGACATTTTATAGAGGATTTTTGCCAAATCGGGCTTGAAAATCCACAAACAAATGTGTCATGTTATTTCCACTTTGTTGGTGCTAATGCACTCAAAAACTCATCACTAAACACTCTTCTAGCATAAAAGGGCCTCAGTCACTCATATCTACACAAATCCTAGCCATAATTCATCTGAAATGAGGAAAAAAAAGGAGGGGGTCAAGGGACTTAAGGAACACCCTGTAGATTTTCATAATAAAAAAAATGTACTTATTATCAGCATTAAACTTAATTCAATTTTTTAAATGTTTATTGTACAAAAGACTAGACATTGGCTACTTAGCTGCATATTTGAAAGGATAATCAAAATTGTTAAAAAATATGTGATTCCTGAAAGCATATGTTCCATTGGAGAATACCTGAATTAACTGGACTTCTGTGGCCATAGGACACTGGAAAGTGTAGACACCTTCACTCTTGTGGGAAAGGATTTGCTTATTTGAAGGAGCCAGGTGGAGAAAACAGCACTCCAGTGGGGAGACCATATTCTAGCATCAGAAGATTTGTGACATAAAAGTGGTGTATGTGGCACTATACATGTGTTCTTGAGAAATTTAAAGACAATCTGAAAACTCTTGTTCATTTCCTTCATCCACAGAATCCAGCTCTTTCACCTTCTTATCCTCACAAATCTGATGAGCCAAGAGTACATCATAGTCTGGTCCTTTCACCTGTTAACCCCTTTACAGAAACAGGACATATATACAAATTGTCCAATGTAGAGATGATGAGATGATGCATGTATTGGTATGTCTTCATATAAACAACTAGCACAGAGAATTTACCTTCAAGATGCTCTTTGGACTTGGTTCAATGTGACTGTAGTTCAGATTTTTCTTTATTGTGTTTAGTTCTATACACTCCATTAAACTAAAAGATATTGATAAATACTAAAGATACTGATGGATGCAGGTATGTCAGTCACAATCAATGGTACTCTCTTTTGCAGTTATCTCAAGAACTTCTGGAGAGCCCAAGGAAAAATTTAACATAGTGGTAGTTATACTGTATATCTTGCCTGCAAGCCATTCAAATTTTTTCTAAATCTAAAATGGTTGTTTTTGGTAATATGAGGTCAAAGGTCATTATGATGACCTCCACATGAAAAGTTTACTTTTAGCACTTATTCAAACTCTAGTCATATATTTGAAAATGGTTTGAAAAGAGCTTTTAAATGAGCCCAAGAAGAGGTCTCTAGTTCAAATAGAACAGAAGTTATGAGGGGAAGACTGTATCATAGTGCAGCAAGAAGGCATTTAGGCTTGAATTTTCATGACCTCATATCTGAGCAACAAGAAGTCAAATGAACCAAATAACTGCTGTGAGTCACTTTCTAATAGGTACAAATAAGCCAGCCAAATTTCATTCAAACCTGAGAAAGTCACCTATTAACACCATGTAGATTTGATACAGAATGACCCATATGCATAGGGGATGGTTGAGGCACTTTGATCATCTATTAGGAAAATTTCATCTTCCTTCACTGGTTATTTGAATATCAGACAATTGTGAAATTTCCTATGAAATCCCAACTCTGCTTACACCACTGGAACAAAGAAGTTTTCAGAGGCTGAATGACATACTGTTTATAAACATATAACAATTCATCCACTGTTTTTTTCACCTGTAAAGATAGAAAATAGATCATAGACCTTCATGTTTCTTTACTAAACTGAGCCATTTTCACTTGCCTGAGACAAAGAAATCAGGATGAATTAGTTTGTAAGTAAAATACAGGGCAATAAACTTATTAACAAAATTAGTATTTCTCCAAGTTAAACACAAAAAATTGATAAAAATTAAAACTATTTGAATGCACCTTGTACATTGGCAATTATTTATTGATGAACCTATTTTACAATCTTCCATCAGTTGAATGATGAGATGAAAAGTGTCCCTTAGGGCAAGGTCAAGGTCACCATAATATGCATATCTTTTTTCTTTTTAAAGGTGGGACAAACAGTTAATGGACACGGGGTGGCCATTTTGGAGCTTTCAGACAAGTGCTAAAATAATGATCCTGGGATTCATTACCAATGTTGGCAGTGTCACTCTTGTCTCCACTCCGAGTATAAGCCAAGTCTCCAACAGTGAAAGTAAGAGATCCCAAGAGGACATCTGGCTCTTTCAATGGGGTCACAGATGCAGAAGCTTCAGCATCCAGATGAGCATACTTGCTATATTCAGGCAGAATGTAGGCCTCACTCCTTTCACCCATTGTCACTTGGACCTAAAAAAAAGAGCTTCTGAATGAAGAAAACATCAATGATATGTAGGAAGGAGTAGAAAAGGATGGGACACACAGGCACTAAGCTTTTTGGAATTAGGAAGGAATGAAGCCGAAGTACAGGAGAAGCCTTGGGTCGACCACCAGCCATGAGTGTCAATCCAGGGGCCATCCCAGTCCCAGCAGGAGCTAATTCTCTCCCAAAGATCTCCAGAGCAACTTTCTCATCATGTGTCACTGCCACCCATAGCACAGTTTCACGACAACCCAGTTCCCTGCAAGACCAGAAACATGAAATCCAGATATGACATGAATTGAACTGTAGGCCTAATTTCTGAGTGGGAATTTCCTGGGACTGATGGCCTTACATATCAATTCATAAAGTGAGAAGGAAAAAGAAAGCTGACCTTGCATGTGCTCCATATGAACTTTCACTTCCCAAGACCTGAACATTAACATCAGAGAAATCCTTCAATCCCAGTTTCTTGAAAATACTGCGACATCGACTCAAGATGGCATGTCCAGTTCTCTTTCCCTTTTCTACTGCTCTTGGACCTACAATACCACCGAGCCCTGTGGCACGATACCCATCCCGGTAAGTTGCACACACCTTCCGGATGGGAAACATCAAAATTGGAACCAAATGGGGGGGGGGGGGGGAAGAAGAAAAAAGAGAAACTAATGCTGGAGCTTCATACTTTGTAGAGGGAAGATGGTGGATGTCCTTTGGCACCATATGCAGATACACAGTCCTTTCCAACTTCCTTCAGTGTCACATGAGAGAAATCACATGTAACATCAGGAAGAAGATATGAGGCAGGATTATGGATCTCATAGAGGAGTTGCTCCCCCACTGTTGCTGTATTCACCAACCCTCCTGTTCCTTCTGGCTTTGTAATGCATACACTTCCATCACTCCCACATTCAGCCACAGGGAAACCTACCCAATTGGAATTTCATTTATTTTGGCTCAATAGTCATAGTTAAAGCTAGAAAATTCTGGTGTAATACTGCCATGACAAACATACCAATATTCTCCCAAAGTGGAATAGAATCCCAGTCAGTGAAGATGCCCCCAGTGCATTGAGCTCCACATTCAATCAAATGGCCAGCTAAGCTGCCCTGTGCCAACTTGTCCCACTCATCCAAATGCCAGCCAAACTATCAGGATAAAGCTAATAAAAATTTTCTTTCTTAAGAATTACCTGACTAATGATGTTTTCTGTATTTAATTTCACATGTAAACAGGACACCAAAAGACAGTCTGCAACAACAATGCCTTCTTACATGGCTCATCACTCACTTTAATGTCAAACTCACATGATGGACTAAGGGACCCAGCACAAGGGCACTATCTACACATCTTCCAGTTACTACAACATCAGCACCCATGTCAAGGGCTTGAGCAATTGGTCCAGCACTGAAACATAAAAAAAGGGATAAAAAAAATAAGCAGATAAGTTTAGGAAAAGTAAGCATATGCAAACAACGTCAAATGAAGGAGAGAAAATTGCACTTAAGCATTTCAAATTCAGAAAACGCAAACCATGAAATCAACAAAGATGCAAACAAGCTCATCACATGTGAACAGGAAACATTACCCCAAGTATGTATTCATGCTGGTCACTTTGGAGAAATCTTTCATGCTGAAAGAAGACTTGAAAGCTGTTAATACTTCTGCCTTTGTATTAGATATGAGGTCATCTCCAGTGACACAAGCAATCTTGAGATCAAGTCCTGCTTTCTTAGCCATAGACTGGATTTCCCAAGAACATGACAATGGATTCACGCCTCCTGCATTGCTCACCACCCGAATGCCTTCAACAGGAAAGTCATAATGCAGAGAATTGGGGGCCTAATGATGCATGCTATCATAGACAAAGATTTTTCTGAGAGAGAGAGAGATGGGCCAGAGAATGCTTTCCTACCCTTCCTCTTGATATCATTGAGATAGGGGCCAATTCCAGCAGTAAGGAAGTCAGGAGCATATCCCAAAGTATCCTTCTTCATTTTGGCAGCGGTCAATAGTGACATTGTGATTTCAGATAAGTAATCAAACACCAAGTAGTCCAAATTCCCCATATATATCAGCTGTGGTGCTGTGGAATGGAAAAATATCCCAACAATGTAGGTTATACACCTTGGAAATTATATCTTAACAATTCTGTGTGGTGCTTGGGATACAATAGGGCATCCAGGTACTATAGTGATGCTTAACTTGAATTTCAGTTAAATGGGCACAGAATAGGATCCAAGTAAGACCTGCTCTCCCCTATCTTTCACATTCTGGACCTAATCCATAGGCATTGACATTCAGTTGCTTGGGAACAATATTTTATGCTCATACTCTTGTAATGTTACTCATGGACTTAGCAATACATGACAGTTACTTCATTTGCTAATTGGAGTTGTTTTGAAGGTTTTTAGGAGTGTAACAAGTAGGGATGCACTGATCCAGGATTGGCAGATACTGATACCGATCCCAGCATCTTGGTATCAGCCAATACCGATCCTAGTGTATAGTCTTGGTATTGGCCGATACCAATACTGATTCAGATACTGATAGCTCCCAATAGCTGTCAGAAGTGAAACCACATTACAGGACCAGACCTGAAAAGGCCTCTTGGCACTTAAAGCATTTTTGCAATGTGAGACTCACAACAGCCTCATATTAATTACTCTCATAACGATAAGTATCCACTCCGTGAAACACCTTCTAAGAGTGCTTCACATACAGAAATGCTTCGAATATAACTTTTCATCTGCCTTTCTGATTCATAATGAACTCCATGGTTGTGTGAAATGAATAAGTATACGAAAAGTGAAAAAAGTGAAATGAATAAGACCCTGTATTCATATATCATCCATCTGCAGATACTCTACTTTGAACAATAGCATCTTTCTCTCCTCCTATACTTCACAGGAAGCACAAGAGAATTGTCAATAAAGACTCATAACAGTCTTGTCTAGAATAATAATTTTCTCATATTATCCTCTGAAGAGAGCTTTATTTTTCAACCTTCCTCAGGATCAATATGCTCCTACCTCTGAGATAATAGCAGATGACTGGACATTCTTGCATCAAAAGTCGCACATCACGCTTTAATTACCCCAATGCTACCAAAAATTAGTCCAAAGGAATTAGCAACATAATCCCACACACCAGATCTTATCTCAAGTTACTTTCTCCACATTTCCAGAAACAATCCTCCTTTCATTGATCCAGCATTGAAACATGTGATATGTATAATGTATTCAATGGTTATACATCATGTTTTGAAAATGTAATCCATTTGTTTTTACAAATAAAAAGAAGTCACAAGAGATATTAGGAAATATTATGCAAGTGGGCAATTTTTCATACTTTGGAGGTATGAGCATTTTTTATTGTGGGCATTATTTTCATGGACTTTTTTTTTAGCATTTTTTTGGAGTACCCTTTATCCTGTGCCCCCCGTTTTTTCCATCCATGTTACGCTTATGTTAGCAGGTACAGTAGTTAGGACACTCTAGGCCTTAATTAGAATAGGTTACAGTAGGATAGCATTTGCTTTCAGTATTGCTTGCATCTGTTGTTCCATTGGCTTGACAATCTCCTTTTTCCAGAGTTATACATTAAATTAAACAGTATCACAAGCTCCGAATTTACAGCTGAGCTCAACTATGACACATACCTATGATGTGGGTTTGGGTCTCTACATATCTGGCCCTTGAGGACCAAACAAAACTTGTAACCCAATGGCAAAAATAAAAGCACAGGTTCACTCCATATCCCCCCACTAGACATCTTTTAATTGGTCAACTCGGCTGAGTTTCATGTTAGTTAAGAAGCCTAATCAATTTCGTTTAATAATATATCTAATATATATAGATGATCATGACTGACTGAGTGACTGATGCGAATTCTAACCATGTTCTAGTGAAGTTAGAGATGTGAAACTTGGTAAATTTGTACCTTTTGGGATGCAGAGTTCAGAAAAAGTCTGACTTTGGAGGTGATGCTCTGGGGGCACCCATTTTGGGGAGATATGTTTTCAGTTATATATATTTGCTTCAGTCAAAGAGAGAGACATGAAAAGCTGAAACTTGGCATGGACGTGCCTACTAAGACATTCAGCTCAGTAAAAATATAAATTTTTGGATGCATGCCCTAGGGGCATATTTCTGGGGGTTGATGTTTTCAAATAAATTTTTTTTTATTCTACTGAATTGAGCAGAGATAGAAAGGTGAAACTTAATATAAGCATCTATTTGGATACTTTGGATTTGAAAAAGTTTAGACTTTGGAGGTAAATGCCTCAGGGGCGCAAATTTCAAGGCAAGATGTTTTCAAATATTTTTTTAGCTTTAGTCAAATGGATGAACATGGAAAACTGAAAGTTGACATGGACTACTGACACTCTGAGTTCTGGAAAAATTTAAAGTTTTGGATGCCCAAACAAAAATATGCCTATATGCATGTTTTTGTTTGGGCATCCAATAATTTCTCTTTGTCCTACCAATTTGGGCAGAAATAGAAAGGCGAAACTTGGTACACCAATAACTGAGGTGAAAGTGAGTTCAAAGAATATTCAAGTGTTGAGGCGTATACCCTCAGGGCACAGTTTTTGGCTGCATTGGCTTTTCCAAATATGTTTTGGACCAGCAAAAAGACAAATGGATAAGGCTGAAACTTGGTATGTATCTGGTTTTCTGAGTATTGATTTCAGCAAAAATATAAACATTTAGGTAAAACCTCTGAGGGCACATTTTTCACTAAAGGCACATTCTCCAGAATCCTTTCTGATCCTACGAAAGAGAGATCTGAAGAAAGTTGAAACTTGGAGCAGGGGTACCTCTTGGATTGTTGAGTGCAGATCCTACTTTTCAAATATGAAACTTCATGGCAGATTATGATGAGATTTGAAGATAGGCACACAAGAAACAATTGGAGTAATTATTTCGATAAAAATATCAGTTTGTTCTCTCTCGATATACATTTTGAGAGGTACAAACTTTTTTTTACCTTTTTGCCACCTTGAAAATAAATTAATAAATGAACCACTATATTGGACAATGGAGCGCCGAAGGCGTGACCATAGCATACTATGGTATTTGTACTAGTATAAAATAAAAGGAGCCCCAAAGAAGGACTCCAAAGCAGGCAAGAGGCATAGCTTGGGCAGCACAGTGCTTTCAGATTGATTTCTCCACTCCCCATTGACATATGCTCCATTCGTTCCATTTGTTTCTATAGATATTACCAGTGAATTGTGAAGTAAGCCTTGCTCAGAAAGTGACATTGCTCCATGGCCTTGCCTCTTTGCTAAATCCCTTCACCATTAGTGAAGATCAAAGTTATCAAGAGTCTTTTAAGCACTACTGACTTAACAGCACCAGAAAAGAAAGGCAGTAAAAGTCAGTGGAGAAAGTGAGAATGGCATCCTCACATGCTTTGCAAAAAGGAACAGAACCACAGTTCTTATACTTTCTGCAGGAAATTTAATACCAAAGTGGTCCCCAGGAAATAATGACAATCTGTTCCAAAGTATATTAAGATACAATTAAAAAAATCTATAAGCTTGGCAAAAGGTCCAGGGTTCAAAGGCATCACCTCATTTGTACTGTTCCTATTCTTATAAAAGTTGACTTTCATAATTGGTAAAAGTCAATTCAAAGGCATTTTATCATAAGTTGGAGCTGAGGCATTTTGTCAAAGGAGTTTGAACCTTGCCATCTTGGCTAATAGACATTCCTTCAATTACCATTAACTTTCAATTTTTAGCCACTGGACATATCCAGGACAAACTCCCTATGCCTAGCCTTTATTTTTGGGGATCCTGCTGGAGCAGAGCCATTTTTCATACCCAAACATTGGGCTTCCTAACTGCTCAAAACTCAGTTGAAGTGAAAAAAATGAAAAAGTGAGTGCATAGTATGGATTGATCTGGCAAAGCCTACTGTTGATGTCTGAGCCATAAGCTATTGGTCTGCCAGCTCTTGCTCTCACAAGAAGGGCAAACAGTAGAGATATGAAGGGAAGAGCAGTTACACTGCTTTAGGATTGAATTCATGGCCCCTGGGTGGTGGAGAATAGAGAAAGCACTTCCAAAGGATCTGCTTTTTAGATAAGCCATGAAACCACTCATTGGGGAGATGTCAATGCTTGCAATCAATGGAAGTGGTCCTACAGGGTTTCCACATTAACTTTTACTCACCATAAGTTCCTTGGTGCTGTTGTTAGTGCTAGAGAGAAACCTTGTATTGGCTGTCATCACTAACTGCAAAGTATGAAGCTGAAGGAGTGGCACCCCTCCCTGAGCAAGGGAACTGCTATTTGCACTATTTGACAGTAGAGCCCATTGAAAGGCAGAAAGCATATGCAAAAAGGGGTGAAGTCAATCTGGTAATCCTGTATGGGGGGGGGGACACTAATAAATGAAATAACACAATGCTGTTCTGGATATAACTTGATCCAGGACAGACATGGATATGTGCACTACCTGTATATTAGACCTAAATGAAGCTATAGCCTCCTGGAAGTCCTTATATGTCGGCAGAAATCGTTCGACCTATAATTGAACAGATTTATTGACTGAATCAAGATTTAACATGTTCGTTGTTATCTTCAGTGATTCTCATGAAGTAGGCAACCTAGGCCTACCTGCGACGGCAGTATCTCCCCAGAAGCCACTGGCGCATCCAATCCTCACGTTGGTAGATGTAGGACTTGATCCAGATCTTGATATCCCATCGAATTCCTTCGACTGAGAGGTTGAATAACTCGACCTTACGATTGAGAAACACCGGGACTGAGAGTATGTGGCCCGGAAACATCTTTTCAGTGCTTCGTTAACAATCATCACGAAAAGACCTTGTGATTCCAAACAGCGTTCAGTTCACATGCTCCACGCGAAGTTCAATCTTCAAACACGCCAGTGACACTCATGCCGCTAGCACGCTGCCACGATGAAGTTCGGTTCATGCGCGTAGCTCATCATCCTCAGCACAGCTTCCAATTCAGATACCGAAACAAATTGAGAAAATAATATTGTCACTCCAATGGTGGTCCGCCGTAGAACTGTCACGGACGATTGTTGCCCACTTAACACTTTGATAGCGTGAGGCACAACAAACCCTCACTATCAGTACCGGTGTAACGCAGTGGCGTAGTCAGGTTTCGTCAATGCTAAGCGGAAAGTTGGTGGGGCTAATTGGGGGCTAAGCGGAACGTTGGGGGGGCTAACTTCGCCTTGTCAGGTTGGGGCGGACGCATTTCGACCAGAGTTGGGGGGGGCTTGAACCAAGACGCATTTCGACCAGAGTTGGGGGGGCTTGAACCAAACTTGGGGGGCTGAAGCCCCCCCCTCGCTACGACACTGGTGTAACGTAATATATTGTCTCCTAAATACTGTATTTGGTCTGGGGGGAGAGGGGGGGGAACACCACAGTGAATGCCACTTATTGTGATCACATCGGTGCCTGAAGAACCTGATAACATTAACCGACTGATAACAATACTTGGCGAAAGCCGAGGATTATCTTGTCCACCTTAGGATTACCTTGTCCACCAACATGTCTCATTGCTGAGAAATTTAAAGAAATTTATCAAGTTTTGGTTGTTTCAGATCTTCAGTGATCATTTCTTCAATTCTAGACTCAAGTTCATTTTAAAAAAAATTGGTATTCACTCCCAGTCCCACCGCGAAGTTCCAGGGCTCCTCTCGCAGTCCGAAGAAAAGCTTGAGCTAATTTGCATAATTTGAACGAAGGAAATTTTTTTTGCCAGACCACATTCGCAGAGAACAGAAGACAATATCGAAACTGTACATCTGTCAATGTTAGGAAGCCCAAGGAAATCACTTTCGCGCAGATTCCAAAGGAACTACCACTGAACTGGATTCTCTAGCGACTGATTTAAAGAACCTCATATAAGTAGCAAGTCACCTGAAAAAGTAAAGACCGATTTAGCAATATTCATTGCAAGCATTACGATCGACTAATGTGGTAAATTTTTATGAAAGACTCTGTATATCATGTATTTGGTCCCGGTAGGACAGATACAGGTCAGTCGGCCCTTGAAATAAAAAAAGACACCCATGTTCCTCGAGGGCAAACGATGTCCTCTGCCCAAAGTAGCCATTTTAAGCCAAAAGAAAACCATGGGACTCTTCGACTCATGGACACTTGAACATCCACTGTATATCCTCCTTGAATATCCAATGGATGACTAAATGTCTCGTCCAAGGAATATCCTCGGGCATGTCCAGTGGCGTAGCGTCGAGGAAGCAGTCGGGGCAAGTGCCCCCCCCCCCCACTTTTCCAGGAAAGAAGTAAAAAAAAAAGAAAAAGAAAACGAAAAAGACTCAGAAGTGCATAACAGAATCCAGCGCCGTAGCGAGGATATTTGGTGCCCTGTGCGAGATATCAACCCAGCGCCTCCTCCCTCTCCCTCTCTTGGTGGAAGTATTACAATCGATAACAGATTCATATTCACAGACGAAAATTTCTCAATGCAAAACTTTTGGCCATACTAAAAGTAACCTTGTGCATTTTCCTCGATTACGAGCAACACGTTTTTAGGATGACTGCCCTTTCAGCTTCAATTAAAAGAGATTTGTGGTCAATTTTTTTTAAATTTAATGGGCGTTTACAGTAGAAAATACATCATGGAGGAAGGAGGGGGAGTGAAAATTCATTTCAAAATGGAAATTCAGAACTGGGGGGCTCCTTTCTCATCTGAATGGGAAAATTAACGTTGAATTTATATCGTTTCCTTTCAAGTAATTACGATGAATTCGTAAATTTTTTATCGCATTTTTTTATAATTCGGCAGCCAATCGGCGCCCTGTGCAGGGGCACCGTTCGCACACCCCTTGTTACCGCACTGACAGTATCAGAGTTCCCCCCCCCAACTTTGTACTGCGTCCCCCCCCACTTTTTTCATCCACGCTACGCTTATGGGCATATCCATTGTATGCCCGTTTTTTCAGATCCTTCGGAGATTCCCAATGGGAAAGTCATCGGATGACCTCGGAAGAGTTCAACTGCAGTAATCCCCCAGGTTGCAATGGAGCAAAATTTGCATGCCCATGAATATTCATAGTATTCTCTATGGCTTCGCTCTCGTTGACATTCTTCCCATCTCTGCATTCATATGCAAGGGAAAAGGCAGCCATTTTCTCACGTACGAACAGAAGGAAGAAAATCGTTTTTAATTAATGCATTGTTGAGAGACGTAACCTAGCTCAAGGAGAGTCCAGGCAACTCTTGAGAAATGGACGGAGAGAGTAAAGTTCCCTTTATCTTATCTAGGGGCAATCCTCAGCTTTTAACTCGATTCGTCAATGGCGATGCGGAGCGCAATCTGCTGATCGGGAGGCTAGGACGGAAAGTTGGGAGAAGTCTATCAAGAATTCTCTATTTTCCGTCCTAACTCTTCTCTTTCAGATCCTTCTGGGGACTGGAAGAATGAGCCTATCATTTCCGAAGTGCAAGATCGGAACTGAGCGGAAGGTGCTGTCCTTTCCCTTGCATATGAATGCGGAGATGAGTAGAACGACAAAGAGCAAAGCCATTCAGAGTGCTATGAATATTAACATACATGCAAATTTTGCTCCATTGCTATCTGGGGTCGAACTTCATCATTGACCGCAGAGAGAGGCAGAAATAATTCCTGTTGACCTGAATACGATGGAATTAGAATTAATCCACCTGAGTCTTCACGAGCTTTAGGGCCCTAGTAAGCTGTTTTGTGAAGAAATTCGGCATCCGTGTAGCTAGTTAAATTCGTTCGCAATCTTTCATCGGGTCAGTGAGTTGAATATATGGTGAGCTTTACTCAATAGGATAAAATTCAAGGAGTTAAGCATTCGAGTTGAGCAATCGGTGAATAGCGAGTCGACGAATTGGCTTTCGACGAGTTGAGTATTCGGCGAGTTGAGCAATCGGTGAGTTGTCAATCGGCGAAAAGTCATTCGACGAAATGAACTTTCGGCTAATTGAATTCGACGAGTTAAACGGTCACCCTTCGACATGTGCTTCACCCCCTTTCCAGTAATGCAGTAAATGGAAACGAAAGTAAAATTGAATAGGCGTTTCTCATCCGGCATCAGGCATCCTGCCCGGTTGTTGATGAAATGAGGACAGTTTACACCATGATCAAGCTAAGATCAAAGGCTGGTGCTTCGGTAGAATGTCAGGCGGAAACCAAAGCCAGCATAGCTTAATTTTGATTACCTTTTTTGGCAATTGGAGTCGAGATCTTTAACACTTTACTGGTTGCGTGGGGTACAGGCAATCCTACGCTTATTTATCCTACTTATGCGCGCCCAAATAAACGCGACTAGTTGAGGGTGAACGTTCCCAAGGTTTAAAAAAATGAGAATGACTCATAAACATGTTTCCCTTATAAATTTCAAATGTGTCAGTCTTCTCTGATACACCCTGTATATTCAAAGTATTTAATTTTCAATGGTCCAGCAACAGAACGTGAGGTGATGGAATGCTAATGTTGCAACAGATCCAAGACCATCTTGAGATCATTTACACCTGTCACTGAAACACACGAAAAGCGTCAGTAAGCTTTTATTGGCAGATTAGAGGCAACTGCTGCCACCGCCGTCATCTTAGCCAATTTTCTCAATGGTGCAAGAGGGATTGGAAAACTTGAAGACATTGAGGTATCCGCATTTCCCCATGTGATTTGGAGAAGAATAAGGAGCAGACCCACCGGCGGATCCTCCACAATTTCCTGCTTGATTCACATCAGTTTCCCAGCCAACTCCATTCGTCACGTACGCCTTCAACTCGAACCATCCTCCTTCCGTATGTGAGCAATCCATGTCCGTGTCCACCATCCAATAGTGCTCCCCATAACTAGAACCCAGTCATTCCTTCATTACGTGTAATGACCCAAACGAGAGAAAGGAATGCGAAAGGCGATAGGTATTCTTTCTTTCACTAATGCCCGGGGGGGAGGGAGAAGCTGTCTACTTGTAACGTCGTTTCTCAACACAATTTTCTCGTCTAGGTTCACGTCATGGTTGGGAAGAAGCTCCATCAGAATTTAATCGCTTGGTCGATGCAGGCTAAATGGGATGGATGCATCAACCTGATGCATGCCAAACATCCCAATTAACTTACGTCAATCAAGCGCCCGAACAACTTTTGGAAATCGTCTGCAAAGATTTCATCTCGACATCGCCTCACAGTTACCCACCAACGGCCCAATAGCGAAATGGGTTGGAATGAGTGGAAAAGAAAAGGAAGCTGGCGTCATGGATGGTGCAGCCGACTTCCTCCATTCCTCGAACGTTCGCAAAGTTTTCTCTGAATTACCTCATCCTATGTGTTTGAAACTTACTCGATTTTCCTACAACTTTAAGACTTTAAGAGTTCTTTCCTCGTTTCATTGATAAAATCCTTCCGGGCGAACGTTTTGGGCGATTTGTACGACCCTCTTGTCCCCGTTTAATTTGGAGTGATTGCCAAGTTTTCTCTGTGAATATTCTTCTAACGCTCTCAAAACTCAAATTAATTTCAATGCACACTGCTGCGAGCTTGTGTACATAATAGCATCAAGGTCGATCAACTCCTTGGTGGTGTTTTCTTGAGTGGGGTTGGGGATGAATGCATTTGTTGGAAAATAGTCGCCAGGCACGGTAAGTAAAATCGACGTTCGTGAAAGCGGCGGGAGAGTTAGTAAAGCCGAGAATGAATAGCTTTGAAGTCCTACGTGTTCAAGGGCTGAAAACCCGTAGAGGACTGAGCATTCGAAGTCCAGGCCAGAGGAGTCCCATCTGCCGGTTGCCCATTAGACGTCCCCTGTCCAGGTTGCACTCCATACCAGTCCAATTTGGTGTCCCCTTCTCTCCAGGAGTTGTATTTGCTGTAGTGTGCTGTTTCTCCGAGGGAATTGGTCGTCATGCTGATGGCACATGCACTTGTCGCTGCGTCCTCTGTGCATCCTGGTTCCGCAGAAACGCGCATCTTACATTTTGGCTGTCAGGATGAAAATGAAGATTAAAAGGATTTCTTACCAGGACGTTGATCGTGTCCAACTCCACCTCGGACGAACATATCCTGTCCTTCCATGGTTTGCTGCTGGATAAAGATCACGGTTCGATGAGTGCCATCTGTGATAGGCGGCTCCGTGGGCCCCTGGGTCGTCGGCTCCGTCGTAGCAGCTAGCAATGTCACGCCATACAGTGCATATAATATGGGAATGCTTGGGGCATGGACAATGGAGGAAGTATAACAGAGAATCGTTTCGTTGAGAAGACCTGTTCGCAGAATGTTCCGAGGAAATGTGACCGTTTCGGAGAATAAAAAGTAGTGCCACGGTACTGTTTCAGAAAATACATAAACTTTGCACCACAAATCTTCATATTATTGATGCCTTCTAGACATCATACACAGCAGCGATGCCTTGAGTTTCAATTTGTGAGTTCCAAATATCAATCATGCTAGAAAAGAATCGTAGTATAAATGACATCATAGGTACCTCCACTACCTATTCACTGCACCATTCGAGAACATCGCAGAATGCACTGAAAGATTTAGTCTTACTCCGGATATGTAACAGCATTAAACCTAGCTTCCAATTTTCAAAATGGAACCAACCAGAATGGCTACACATTTTATGGCTTCTTTCAGTTGACTGCCGAAGATGGACCTTCTTGGGATTCCTTCCCGCTCAGGAGCATGATAGTGCAATTCAGATGCCCGTATTTATGAAATCCATCATATCCGTAGTAGTGATCACAGAGCATTTCCCATTAATATAACACCAACATTCCTTTCCTTTCTATCACGTTCCTGGGGTCTGTGAATTATAATAACTATATATCAATGACCTTATGTCATTTTGTTCTTTAGTGTTCCAGGGTACCGCATGCCAAATTTTGATGTTTTGTGAAAATGTCTGGTCGTGAGCTAAGACAAAAGAGACCTGCCTCTTGCCTACTGAGCCGTAAAGGAATTTGGTGCGATGATTTTGTACTATTGGAAGTGTGGTCTTACTGCTAAGGAAAGCCAAGGTGCTCTCCTGATGTATACAAGATCATCACAGGCGACGAAACTTGGTTCTACCCTTATGACCCCGAGACAAAGCAGCAGCAATCATCTGGGTGGCTTCCAAAAGAGCAATTTTCTCAGAAAAAACTGCACTGTGTCAAGTCTAGATTCGAGGTCATGTTTGCCATATTTTTCACGGAAAATGGCTTGGTGAAGGCAGTGCCACTGGAAAATGGGCGAACTCTGACTGCCGAGTGTCTTTTAAGATTTGCCTGCTGGCTGTATTGAACGCCCGAAAAGAGAGGCGGAAGTGCGGCTTGAAGGATGTTGCATCACAACGCCCTAGCTCACAAGGCGAAGAATACAGCATCTGAGTTGGAGAAATGGACAATCGAAGAGCTGCTCACATCCCCATATTCACCGGACCTCGCACCTTCTGACTTTTGGTTGTTCAATGAAATGAAGAGGGAACTGTTCGTAATCGAGTTCCGCGAGGAGGAGCAACTGAAAAAAGTGGAAGATATCCTGGTGTCCATTGAAACCAAGCGTTTCAGGAGTGCTTTGATAAGTGGTTCGCGCGCATGAAGAAGTGCATCAATATGGCGATTATATCGAGAAGTCATGAATAAGTGATGGTTCAGAGGCAGAATGCATTTTGCCCCATCATTATTTTATATAATCAAACCCTGAATGATATGAATACGTTCCATTACCGATGGCACGAACGCTGTGCGCTAAGCACCCCCGCAGCTGCAGCCGACAGGGATGTCTCGAAACTGTCAGATCTGAATGAGGACCTTCAGTTCGGCCATAGGAACAGCCAAGAAAATGATTTTCTGCGAAACGAGACCCCTTGGCCTGTTATTCGGGGAATTAAGTTTTCTATGAAACGGATCTGTCGGTGGATCGATTTTCTACGAAACATCTGTTCCTCTCTGGCTACTTGGGTGGGAAAGCGAGCAAGAAGCTTCCTAAAGCCTAATTGCATATGAAGATGAAAAAACGAAGAGTGGACAGACTGGGGTCAGGGGTGGGGAATGTTTCTCCATTGCACCCTTGACAGATGGCCAGGATGGGGTCTTCGGAGTTGGTGATCACGATCTGGGCTGTCCCATCCCCATTCACTGTCACCTGCGTCGCACAATCGTCGATTATGTTGCAGTATGTACCCGCCGGCATTCCTGGAAAGAAATCATGAAAAATGTCTTTCTGGCTGGGCTTAATTCTGTCGTAAGCAGGGAGTGACGTCAGTGATAGAAACCTGGAAGGGGTGAAGGATGCCGGAACGAACTCATCATTCACTTTTATGCTTACATGTCCATCGATATCCGAGGGTCGAGGGGAAAAGTTCAGGGTTCTATCCTAGAGTTCTATTTCTCCAAATACCTTCGAATTTCAGTAAGATTAACCATGCTCTATATTTTGGCATCCTATAATTTGGCAGATGGACAATCGATGGGATGATCGGACAATCCTTGATGCTTCCCCTGCGGATTTTAACCTCTGACAGCCCTGAGGGTACTGTATTCGTATTACAGGAATTTTGGAAATGTGCCCTCAAAAACAAGTTTCAAAAGGCATTTCTGAGTGTACTATTTAAAAATATGATTAAGAAATGACAGAGGACGGTCACAGGATGCATGCCCTTCTAGACTGACCCGTCTGAAGGACCTGATTCATGGATCCCGACTTGGAAAGGGCAAAGAAACCCCTGTCTCCTCGCGAGAAGGCCGCCCTTTCTCCGTCGTTGTAGTAATTGGCCATGTCTGTTCCTTGCACGGCGTTTCGGAATCCAGCCTTTTGCAGAGACAGGAATTCCATGGCATCCTCTTTTGACAAGATTTGTGAGCATACTCAAAAGCGGAGAATCTCTAACCATGCGTGCGATTGGTCTCCATCTGTGTTCGCAAACCCAACCGTTGCCGCAGCTACCATCCGGATTGATCGGGACGTCAAGAGTGCTGGAAAGAGCAAAAATAATTTCAATAAAATTCAGGCTTCTATTGAAATAAATAATTTTTCGTTGGCTTCACTTGTAGTTCTCGTCGTGTGGGGGGCCTTCGTCCGTGTTTTCGAAGTAGTAGCTGCTCATGACCCTGGTGAACCCATAAGGATGAGCCAACATGTAGCAAACGCCCAACTTGTAAAGGAACGGGTTTTTATGGGTGAGCACATCACCTGCAGACAGAAAATGAGGGATGTGAGACCGATGAAGCAGTTCATACGATCGTTAATTTGGACTTAAGGCCTACCAGCTCCTCCGTGTCCCCTTTGGTTATCGTGGTTGTCGACGAAGACGAAAGCCTTGTCGGAAGGACACATTCCCCAGCCAAAATCCACAAGTCCGCCCAACTGCCCGAAGTCGTTGATTCCCCAGGCGATCTTTTGCGAATATCGGAATTCCGTCACTCTCCCTGCGTATTCAACAGAACCACTCTCTTACTCCCCCAACCGATCCATTTCAAAAACAGCAAAAGTTGAAAAAGGAATCGGTTAAGAGAATCAGAAACCGAGATGGAAGTATTCATCGACGGTGACAGCCCCATCGTTCCGATCGATGACTTCATGGAAAAAGAAGGGAGGGCGTCCTTGTTTGAATCCATGATCTGGATTCAAGGTCCGCAGCTGACTCAGAATTGCAGCTAAGTCCTGAAGAAGAACAGAAGTTGAATCCATTTTGTGATTTTCAGGCAACGCTTCGTGAACGTAGACGACTCTCTTCCTCTGTCAAATCGTGCTTAATTACGCGAGAAATGCTCTAAACAGCATGTAATTCCTGATATTCAGAATAGATGGAGCATCTAATAAAGGAAACCATTAATTAGCAACTTCATGGGAAGGTCTTACATCGGGCCACATGTGTTTCGAAGCATCGACTCGAAAGCCAGCGACTCCGATATCAACGAGACGATTCAGATATTCCGCCTGGGCATTCCTAACATAGTCAGAGGCTCCATAAAGGTCGGTCAGTCCCACCAGGTAGCAATTCCGAACGTTGTTGGGATCCGAATAGTCATTCACGTTTCCTGGATGAAAAGTAAGGACTTTCATACAGCCAGGGAGAACCAACATCAGACCTCGATGAACAGCAAATTGGTATCACCATCGCCAGAAGGGCACATATCGCGAGGGGTGAAATCGCCCCTTGAGAAAGGAACTCCTGGGAAATCATGAGCATCTGAATCGAAGGACGAGCCAGCGGTCCCAGTTCCAGATCTGCCAAGACCAGCCATGTGGTTCAGGACTGCATCCACGTAGATCCTCACACCCACGGCATTACATCGTCGGACCATGTCCGCGAATTCCTCGTCCGTTCCACTTCTGGATGTGAGCTTGTAACTCACTGGTTGGTATCTCTCCCACCAGGGACGCATTGGACTCGTCACTATCACGTGCTCGTGCACCGGTGACACCTATACAACACAATTATCTTAATATAAAAAAATACATATCGTACATATGACCTAAAGTAAAATGACCTCATCCATGTACATTTTACCTGGACACCGCAGTAGCCGGCAGAACTGAGGAATCGTTCGCATTCTTCGGCAATGGACGTCCATTTCCATTCAAACAAGTGAACGATGACCTGTTTCCCATCGCAATGTGGATCAAAGTAACCCTGGGTCCCCTTCAAGATCGACAATCCCAAGAGGAGTACTCCGAGGCAATACTTTAGTTCCATCTTTGGACATGAATGCAAAGGAGAAGATTAAGAACCAGCCTCCTGGACCAATTATGGCTTTAAGAAAAAATACCACTGAGCAGCTGGCAGAATATATAGGCTTAGAACTGATCTCCCGTGAAAGGAATATCCGAGAGGAGAGACTCAAGAAATGCGTGACACCAGGCCCATAGCGCGTATTTATATCTATACAGGATAAATCGTTTTCCCTAGAGAGTGAAACACGTGTTGGGCGAGGACAGCTGCCAGGTTTTCTCAAGGATTCTCTATCGAAGGCCATCAGCCGCTGACACTCATGACGCCGTCAAAATCTTCGCAAAAAGAAATATACTTAAATTATGGTTATGTGGTTTTATGTTTATCGGAGGTTTTCTCAAGAATTAAGATTAATACATGTATAAGCCAACTGTTTCTCTTGCATCCCTCCAGTGCACCTACCATCAACAATCGCAACCCTTACGGGAACTCCATATTCAGATTTCATGCATGATATCAAATATGGGCATACAGGGGTGGTTTGATCGGAATGTACATGGTACAAATAAAAATTATATATGGGAGACTGTATTTGGAAGCTGTCCAGTTCATATAATGTTTTGGCCATTCTTAATGAATATGGAGCTATACGTGGTTCATATGTAAGCACCATATATGGGGCTTAGTTGCAATGTATATGGCACACATAATAATTTGGTATGTTTTGGCTATATTTAATATATTGGATATATGTAACTATATATTATCATATACAGGTCCCTCATACAGTTCTTAATTTGCAATATACAGTAGATGGCCTCCGCATGCATTAATGACAGATTGAAGCAGAGGCTCAGATGCAGAGTCACTCAGCATCGAAACTTTGACAGGTGTATTTGTGACTCACTTCACAAGGGGAACCTCACTCCCTCTATGCATTGGGCAAGAATTACCTGGAGTCTCCTTAAGCTAGGTTACGTCTCTCGATATATGCATAGATTAAAACGACTTCATTCCTTCGGTTTGTACGTGCGAAATTAGCGAGTTGAGGGTGAAAGCTTCTGCAGAACCATTCATTAGAATTTGGGGAATCGGGAGACAGATAGCGGCGGGATAAGCGCGACCTCGCTTATATTGTGAGAACTTTATATTAATTGAACAAACTGCTAGATGCCGGGCCATATGGAAGGCCTCAACGTGCATGCGTGTGCATCCATGGATATTACATGGACTGAACAGTTTCCAAGTATATTCTAAATACAGTATTTTTTCCGTATAGTTTATATTAGTGTCATATACATTGCAAACCTAGCACCATATATGGGGGTCTGAATATGAACCATATATAGTTCCATATTTATTAAGAATGGCCAAAACATGATACGGACTGAACTGTTTCCAAACATGGCTAAATTCAGTACTGTACAATCCTAAACATACGCCTGTATTTGGAAGTTCCGTAAGGGAAGGAAGCCCTAACGGAAGTGCCAAATACAGTCGTATGTGCAGTATGTATTTGGGTATATTTGACTATACTGCATATGCGCCAAACTTGGCTGGAAGGAGTTAAGGGACTACATATGGCCAAAACATGATATGAATGTGTGCGAACATATTTGTGTCATATATGTTTTAAATAAAGAGCCCATGTATGGCCATGTTTGTTATCATGCATTAAGCCCTTATTTGGAATTCCAATACTCTTTACTAAGCCGTGAAAAGAGACTCACTCGAACCTGGAGTTGTGAAATCTATCCGGCTCTTCGTCTAATGAAGAACTGGGAGGTCACGAGTGAGAGACATCAATTTAATTCGCCTGAGTGCGAAGCGGAGGCAGCATTGCATTGGTAGAGGATGATTGAAAATTGGATCCCAAGGGATGAAATGGGACTGATTGATAATTGGATGCTTCCCAGGGGAAGAAATCCAGACCATGAAAGCAGACGACGTCACACACCTCTGTATATCTCTTCCCCAGTTGATCGTTAATGAAGCAGTCGGCGACAGCCTTGCTTTACCTCGCTTATCGCTCGACAAGCTGATATAGTTCCTTTTGCTTATCTTTTTCGACCTCAGGGTTGAGTACATTCTACAATGCACAATGTACAGTTCGGAGAACATTGAATAACTTCTACAGGATGTTCGACTTAAGACGCCACCCATAGATGCAGTTGCCGAAACTTCAGTAGAATAGGCATATAAACCTGAAATGCGATAAGGACGTACCTTGGCATGAAGCAAATAATATCTAATATGCATGATGCAGCCTCAAGTGCGTTTAGTCGTGTGATTTGTAGCATATGGGCGGTCTTATTATCATTACACATTCTCATGCAATACACTCCCTTGTACTCTCGAAGAACAGAACGGAAAAGAAGCTCTGGAAATTTGGAGCATCATCCAGGAGACATTGCAATGCGTGTAAATCTCCGTCACCTCGTGCAATTGCGTCTGGATGAGGTAGGTGGCAAATTCCAACATTTGTTGTACCCATGCCGTGTCCTACACGCCAAGATATGTCTTCATCAATATCCGACTGCTACATTTTTTTCTATCTCTCATGATTCTGCGCTGTTCGTACGATGTGAGTCGAGATTGACGTGATGTATTTCTCTTCCTTTCTCTGCCACTCATTGAACGAGGAATCGCAGCGATCCGCAGCGCACATGCCGGTAGGATGAAGTCATACATCGCCAAAAATAGCGGTTAATAAAAAAAAGTGGATGGTTTTCTAACCCCACGTCATCGGATCACCACAATGCGGCAGGAATATTTGATGTCCACATATGAAGGATGCTTATTAATTATTTTCATCAATTGTAACAATAGCTACTCTAAAATACAGAATGAAGGACAAGTGGCTCGCATTTGACTTTTTTTTTTGGAACTCATAAACACTATATTGCAAAAATCAAGGTCCACTCAACAAATGATGACATAGGCCGAGTTCATACTCGTGCTGTACGGCATTTTGGATGCTGCAACTGCATGCTGTACTGAAAAATCCAGTCCAACAAGTCCAGCTACAGGACTGCAATCCTGCAATGCATCAAGAAATATGCCGTGCAGCAGTTGGATGGCGCATTTTGTCCGGGAAAAAGTTCGTGTTGCACAGCATGCTGGATTGAACAGAAACCATTCCTATTTTTCTTGGTATGCAGTAGTACATACAGGACAGCAGATGCAGCGTGCAGTTCCGCAATCAGTTAATGTACTGTTGCCGTGCACTGCATCGCACGACGTCCCGCGCTTTCTAAAATGCAGTACAGCAGGAGTATGAACGCGGCCATAATAGCGTAATCCTACAGGGATCCTAAGTGACAATGTGAGTGTCAGGCAGCAGGCATAGAAGACCTGTCTACTGTCTGGAGCAACAGTTAATAGCAAGATGGCAGCACGACGGGAGCTTAATACGTTCTAATGGGCTGTGATTCTTTGGCGCCATTTGGTGAGGGAGCCCGGTCGAGCTCCAATACTTCTGGCCTGCTCTGCAGTATGGTGTATATCGTCTCTCGCAGCACGAAGAAAGACTTATGGATATGTTGGTAACTTTCCCCGACCTCTCTCTCGTCCATACCAAAATAAGAAACTCATTTTTTTACATGGGAAACAATAGCCATGCTCATGAGAGGGCATTCACTTTTGGAGTGGTAGTGTATGTACCGTTCATGTTTCAACAGGATAGCGCAAACTACAAATTCATTGCCAGGTATGTCATGAGAATGGCCGGAAGATTGGATGGCAGGAGAGGACGAAAGAAAGCCAGGGGATGGTTGGGAATTGAACCCAGGGCTCCTGATTGCCGGTCAGGTGTGCTACCACTACACCACCGAACCCGGGACATTCAATCGTGCCTCTCAATGCCATCCATATCCACAGGTACATCTTTCAATTGTCTTTCTCCTTTTTACTCTAAGGTTGGACTGCGCCTCGGGAGCAAGGTAATTCGATCCTTACTCTGAATGACTTACTGAATGACCTCCCCATCTAATAATTGATGGGAAGGAAGCATTTCCTCGTTTTTCGAATTGCAACACAGCAAATCTGATATCCAAAAAAACTGCGCTGATTGTGGTTTCTTCAGGCTGGTTAATTAAAAAAAAAACTGATTTGATTTGATAGCTTGGGGTGGGTAGCCATTATGAAACCAGATAAGTTTAATATGAAGCAGATGAAGAATATGTCTCCTTTATGCTTAAGTCTGAAAGCGTCGAGAGAAACAGAGACGATCTAAGACGTATGGCCTTGAATGAATTTGAGGAGAATGGAATCATATTCCTCATTTATGAAGATTCTAAACCTAATGATGCATTCAAGGACTTTTTGCTACCATATTCTAACCCTTACCTTCCTTAATCGAGATGAATCGGCAGGAGAGAAAACACTGAACGTGAGGTTCCAAAATATATTTTACTGACAAGAGTCGCCACCGTCGGTTTCGTTTCGATGGTGCAAGTGAGATTTGAGAACTAAAGACATTGAGGTATCCACATTTTCCCGTATGATTTGGAGAAGGATAAGGAGCAGGCGGATCTTCCACAATTTCTTGCTTGACTCATACTGTATATGATGAAAAGAAAATCTGAAAAAGAGATTGCGCAGTAAATAATTCGGAGGTTTGAAAAGCTGCCACCGTTCCCCTCCCCTCTCTTCCCCCTTCCCCTTTCCCCTCCCCCTCTCGTCCCCTTTCCCCTCCCCCTCTCTTCCCCCTTCCCCTCCACCGCTGGCCTTGGGCCTGCAGCAATGGATTCCTCACCTACGAAGCCTTGAAGGGAAAACTGGCTGCTTTGGTTGGAGACAAGGCAACCCCATTCCAGGTTTAACTCTGCGCATACCTGTACACCTTGTTGACGTTAGATAGGGTAAAACCTCAGTTCCATTTTCTGCCTTGCAGGATATGAATGCAGAGAAACAACGCTAGTTCATGTAAACTTACCGAGCCAAAGGAAGCTAGTCCCGTAGAGAAAGATCTACCCCCTGACTCCTGTTCAAACTAAGCTTGGCTTATCGTATTTTCTTAAATGTCACGCACGCAAACGCCGTATTGTCTTCTTTATTTGGCCACGTATAGCAATGGCTGCAGGAGTCAAACATGGCTGCGCCCTTGGAGATTTGCGCTGTTACAGAAGAATGAGGTTGGTCAGATTCCTGTTGCGCGGAGGCGTAAAGCTTTGTGAAATTTATCAGCGAAGGTCTAGGCAGTATGGACGAAACTGCATGTCGTCCAAAAATGTGGACGAGTGATGTTAACGATTCAGAAAAGAACGCACCAGTATTGTCGACGGACCAAATGTTGGAAGGTTGGAGGGGATCGAACCCTTGTACACATTTTTGGACGACATGCAGCTTCTTACCAGGTTGGTCTTTCTCATGTTTGACCATGCGTTCATTTTGCACACTCTATCATCCTTTGTCAGATGCCATCATCCCCAAGGACACACAGCTTTTCCGAACACTTCTCTTTTCTTGGGGGCTTGTCAAAGAACGCGTCAAATAGCATATCTTTCCTTTTCTGAATAGGACTCAAATTTAAACAGCTTATTCTCAATTGGCACCATGAAGGATGCAGCAACACCTTGCAAGAACGAAGAAGTTAGGAACAGAGCTGTATGTCGCAGTAGAGACAAAGCAGCAGCTCTGGACACGTTATTCACCTCACAAGAGCGCCACGAAACAAAATATGAAGGAACTTTTAATTATAATTACGAGTAAACTTGTTACCTTATAAATTCAATTAAATAGGTCCCAGATGTCATTACTGGCAAACGAGATCGATCCAAAAAAAGAAATCCTTTTCCACCGACTTGTGATGTCATGAGTAGACGTCATCATCACTTCCAAGTCAACTCACTTTTGATCTGATGGAATTTTTGGCATATTTTTATTATTATTCTCATAGTTATTTGAGTAGAACCAGAACTAGGCTCTGATTTCTGTATGTTACATAATGAACACTTAAAAATAGATCGAAGTGTCTGAGGGAAGGAAATATTCTTGTCGCGACGGATAACTGTTGGGAATTCACCCATGTGCGCTCTCGCCCCCCGCTTTTCGATCATTTTCTTTTTAAATCAGCTGCCAAATTTAGCGGCAAACTGTGAAATGCATTACGGGGGCGAAAATCCATGGGGGCGAAGATGAATAAATACTTGAAAATGCTTTCATGAGCACCAATGCATGACAAATGTTGTTGACCTATTTTCATACATACGAGTTATGCAAACCTAACGAATCAGCTGCTCCCATCCCAATAACTGACATCTCCGATAATGCGATCAAACACGTGTGGAACGGCCTCCCACCGCTACGTCGTCAGATCCGGTTTCTGGATTGCTCCACTGCGAAAGGGATTTTACTATTTCCGTGAATGAAAAAAGGCGGAGCATCCAATAGCAGAGGGGGGACAAAGAGATGAGACTCCACCGCCTGAGAGATATGGGGAAGGAAGAGGAAGAGTGCCGATAAAAGAATGAAGGAGAGACTGGGGTCAGGGGTGGGGAAAGTATCTCCCTTCACAGATAGCCGGGATGGGTTCTTGGGAGTTAATGATCCGAATCTGGGCTGTCCCATCCCCGTTCATTGTCACTTGCGTCGCACAACCGTCGAATATGTTGCAGTATGTACCCACCGGCGTCAATATGTAAGGAGAGCTATTAATTCTCATCTTCATTCATGGCAAAGGGCACGAGAGAAGGCCACGTTATCACCTTCCAAGAAGAAATTGACAATGTCTGTCCTCGCCACCGCATTTCGAAATCCGACCTAAAAGGGCATTTGATGTCGCAAGAAAACCAGGAGAGGGCTAGATCAGAAGAAAAATATGCTAAGACTTCGAGTACCATGCGGGGGATGGTTGCCCAACTGTGTTCACTCACCCATCCGTTTCTACAGCTTCCATCCGGCTTGATGGTGACGTCCAAGGTGCTTCATTAAAATGAACTTTTTCAATATATATTTTTCCGCTCGAGCGATTCCAATCATGGCAGACACTGATGGAGGCGGATATCATCGCCCACGACGGCCAGAACCATTTTCATCAACCATTTCATTTTACGGAGATACTTTGTTGATGGAACGCGCTATCTTCTATGCTTCTCTTACTTGTACGGCAGTTTTCGCCGTGTGGGGAAGCCTTCATCAGTGCTTTCAAAGAAATAGCTGCTCATGATCCGAATTAAGCCATATGGATAGGCGAGCATGTAAGATCTATCTAAAAGAATGGGTCCTCATGGATGATGACGTCACCTGAAAGCGAATTACATGCACACAGTGATGCTTTTCAGACACGGACGATAGCGACAAAGGCATCCCCACCAGCTCCTCCGTGTCTCTTCTGGTTGTGGTTTTCGACGAAGACGAAGGCCTTGCCAGGCTGACACATTCCCCAGCCGAAATCAATTTCCCCAACTGCCTGAAATCCCTGATCCCCATGCGATCTTGGAGCAGTACCGGAATTTCATAACTCTACTTACAAGGGATATTCCAGAAAATGTCTCAAGCGGACAGTGCTTTGTAAATTTATTTTTTAGAATATCTTTTAAGGGAGATGAAGCCAAGCCATGAAAACTTCCTCATTCTGCGGCATGGTTAATATTCATCGTGATCCCGCTTCATAATCTGAATCACTTTTTGCTGAAATTCAATTTAAGGAGTTTTTTATGAGAAAGCACTATTGGAATAAAAGGATATCATAAGCATGAAATAAAGAGAGGACGGATCGAGGTTGAATTATTCATCGACTTTCACAGTCCCGTCAATCCTTTTAATCGCTTCGTGCAAAAATAAAGCAGGGTGGCTGAGGTCACCTTGGATAGCCGCCAGGTCCTTTATAGAAGAAAATCGAGGATGGCTGGGTGGAAAAGCAAGACAAAGAACAAAGAAATATATTTCTTCCCCCAGGCCACATGTGCTTGGCAGCATCAACTCGGAAGCCAGCAACTCCTATTTCCAGCAAACGATTCAGATATTCCGTCTGCTTCCGTCTCACGAATTCTGAAGCCCCATACGAGACTGTCAGGCCCAGCAGGTAACAACTCCGGACGTTTTCTGCGGATAAAAGGGATTCCATAACCTTCATCCCTTCATCTTTCCTTCCTACCATTCCAGGAAAAAGGTTACTGAAAACTTTATGATTAAATCATCATGAGAGGGGCACATATTGCGAGGAATGAAATCATTGACGGAGAAAGAGACTCCTGGGAAATCATGGGCATCTGAGTCGAAGAACGAGCCGACTGATCCTATTCCGGATCTGCCAAGACCTGCCATGTTATTCAATTCTGCGTCTACGTAGGTCCTCACACCCACGGGATTACATCGTCCGACTACAGGGTGTCCCATGAGTCACTATACCATTTCAAACAGCAGTATTTTCCAAACTGCTACAACCAGGTCACTTTTCTTAGCATTAATGGAAAGAACATTCTTTAAAAATTTTTTCTTCACAATAATGGTTTGGGATAAGACTCAAACAGAAATTGCTTCAAAAACACTTCAGAAAGGTGTACGTCTTTAGGGCGATTTATGGTATACCTCGTGGAATCCTTTTACAAAAATTCAAAAAATTCATGTTTTTTCTCACCTAATTCCAGACAGACCTGAGAAACAGAAAAAAATAATAATTTCCTTTAATTTGCCTTCGCTGTCATAAGAAAAGGTTTCACAATTGACGCTTGAGCAACGAAGGAATGTTGCGACCCGAAAGGAGGTCTTTGAGGGTCCCATCAGAGTCCAAAGGGAGTTTTGGCAATATTTTGGTGGCGAGCTTCATGCCAAATGCATTGTATAGGCAGATGGCATTTTGAGGCACTTTCAAACTTCAGAAATAATTTTTGAAAAAGATAATTCCAAATGGCATGCTATTGTTCAGTTAATGTTGCTTCTTTTTTTGCCAACTGTTTAGATGTGAATTTTTGAAATGGTATTGTGTCTTATGGGACGCCCTGTATGTCCGCGAATTCCAATTCCGTTCCACTTCTGAATGTGAGCTTGTAACTCTCCGGGTGGTATCATTCCCGCCAGGGACGAATGGCATCTGTCGTCACCATCCTATAAAGGACATAAATGAAGGACAACCGTAGCAGAAGCGACCAGTCCTGAAAGTGACTCCAATCCGAATAGGATTTTACCTGCACGCCGCAGTAGCCGGCAGAACCGAGGAGCCGCTCGCATTCTTCGGCGATGCTCGTCGATTTCCATTCGAATTGATCACCTGCTGCCCACCGCAACTCGGTCCGAAATATCCTTGGGTCCTCTCCGATCCCAGCAGGAAGGATCCAGCCACAAAGAATTGCCACTTCATGCTGATCGAGAATTTCGGGAGTGGAAAGATCAAGATGAAAAAATTAATGTATGCAGTACATCCCTCCAAAAACCTCGCAACAATTTGTCGCGATCGAAATTCTCGGCACAATGGCACCATCAGCGAAATATCCATATTCTCGGACAGCTTACTTTCTTACCTAGGCAAAGCGCTCGCTGACATCAAAATTTGTTCTACCATTTCCCAAAAATTTGCTCAGAGCTACCTGGTTCGGAATTTTGGCGTGGAACAATCGCAAAAAGATTACCTCATCCCCACTCCTATTGTTGGAAAGTCTGCATTTTGAATTTCTTGAAGCATTCCATCCAGTCTTCAGTGTGCCCCTGAACAATTCTCGGACCACACATTCTTCAGCGCTATGATGGCCGCTTCTTTCGGATGAGGGAGTGGGAACGAATCGATGAATTCAGAATCATATAAGACATTTCGTTCTCAGTTTTCAATAGAACGATATTTCAACCCCAATATGATACTGAGGTCAACGTATAAGACCTCAGCTGTGCTAAATGTGACATCTGAGAATGACCAGTGACAGGTGTCTCCCCGAGATCGAGAAAAGTCTACTTTTTGCAGAAGAAAAATCAGCTCAGTGTAATATATACAATAAGAAAAAATTCTGACTATCAGAATCGCTTCCATTTAGTTAACTGGGTTTTTTTGCAACTAAACTATAAGACTGAGAGGACTCAGCGGGAAGGAGTCACTATCCGGGACTCAAACCATTCCTTCATGTTCTGGGAATGTGATCACATTATGTCAGCGCGGATCAATATCGTTTTCTTGTACCATTTGCAAGACAAGAGGGAGCGAACTCAGCCTCTCAACGAATGGTATATCTCGTGGCAGCGGATGGCTTTCCATTCTAGACTGAGAATAATGATGAATAATGATACCTAGTCAGATTGCTTTTGAGGCGGATTTTGTGGAAATGTGTGCACAATTCCTGATGTCACTGGGCGCTTAGCAGCAGATAAAAGGAATAAACTATCCGATTAAACAAATTTTTTCGCTGCTGATGGTACTGAGGTTTTTGATGATGGAAAGCTTCGAGCTTAGAGCTCGAATCTTTCAAGAATGTAGGCTTGTCAACAATTGGTATGGAGATGGACTGTAATTATTCCTCGCTGAAAAACCGAACCCGATGGATTCCGAGACGAATTTCGGAGAAACGATAGTACCATTTTCTAATCATGACGTAAGTGTACCCTTTACATAGACAAGAGATTAAACTGTCCGAGGTTAAATTCATTTTCGCAGATGGTGCTATAATTGCCAAAATTCTTCATCGCAAGAAAGTATTGCAAATATTTTGAAGGGGTTTTCGAGGTGCAATCGTCGACTTAGACTTCATGATTTGCAGGAGGCAGCAGAATGAGGGCGGATGTTCTTTTGGAGCGCTTTTTTTATGGGTCATTTCTGGGGAACCAAGTCAGGCGTAGGTGTCTCACTTTTTTTTTCGACGTCCCTTTGCGGATGCGATAAGACTGGCTCGCAAGCCTTGTTTTCCTTCTTTCCCTTATTTGCTACATGATTGATAGTTATATAACCATCTTGACGATAGTTACGTAACTCATTACACAACCTCTTCCTAATTTTCCTGCAACTTTTTCTGTTACATTTTCCCATAGCGTCATCCGGATTCGATGAATAAGTAATTCGTTGCAACACTGTATGGCTACCATCATTTTTAGCTTGGCATTTCTTCCGAAGACATCTGCTGGACGTCACCCACCGCCAAAGCCTTTGGTCACTCAGTGACTCAGATGTCACCGTGTACCCGACTCATTTCATTCAGTCGCCATGCTCATTTATTAACTGTACAGAAAGCCGGTACAGTGCCGGTCGCTGTCTGGAATAAAAAATGCATCAGAGAGACATCATAACGGCCTGTGGAAGACTATTCAACTTCAAGAATATTCACATTCACCTTTTGGTGAAAAACCATTAAATTACTACGGGATTCCATTGTTCCATATCTTGAACATTCATGATTGTGACTTTAAAATCTCCTAAACCGAGTGTCGTACGCCATAAAAAAAAGAAGAAAAATAAAATAAAATGGTAAGAGCGCCTGTGCACGTGAGTCTTGTCACACGCGTACCACAGAGAAAATTCTGCTAGGACACTTGCTAATCTCCACTTGGTCCGTCTAAAAAAGAAATAAATAATGCTTTGCGATTTGTCCTCTTGCATATTTATAGAGTTCCACCAATACACAACGTATAGAACATTTAGGCCGATTAAAATATCTTAGGCCTATTTCAAAGTTAGGCATGAACCGAGAGTCCAAGAAGTGAACATCTACACATTTTTTCCCTCGGAGAATTGCAGGTAACCCCCCTCCTCGCACGTACAACTAGAGAGATATATTTTCAAGGAAATGAAGCTTCAAATGACTCTCGGAACGATGCGGATTTGTGGCTTGGAGAAATGGGAATCAAGCCGAGGAGAGGCACATGGGAAGGTTCACGACCCCGAACACGTTCATTTCCCAGAGGAGGGAAAAAACGAGGAAGAGGACATAGAGAAGACAACAGTATAAACCCACTCGTCGATTCAAGACGAATCGATTGAAAAACATAGCGAGATACATCAAGACGAGAGAGGAAAGGAGGGCAATGGCACTATAAGTGATCCCCTCGGAATTGATGCGGATGGTTCTTGTCATCGGATCCGAGGGAAGGAATGCAGTTTTCACCAACCAAGGGAGTCCCAAGCAGACCAAGATGTCGAACGTGTTGCTACCCACTGCATTGCTTATGCACATCGTCCCGAGACCTGTCGTCGCATCACGGGCGAGAGAGAAAGAAAATTTTTCGATTTAGGAATGAGAGATACAATCGTTCTTGATTCCTGGTCTCGTTTTGATGTATTGGGTGCTTTAAAGTCACTTGATGATGCATGACATTCTAGTATAAAAACTATGCACTGCAGCTCAGTGAAACTTGTTGAAGTATCACAAAATCTGGATAAAACGTTGCACGAAAAAAATATGATTCGTAGGGGACGCTGTTGATGTGACGTCATTTGTATGCAGCAGCTCCCCCTCTGGGACCTTTGGTTCTCTTTTTTCTTTCCTCAAACGTTTTCCCCCATGTTATATTTTTCATGCCGGAGGGCTGTCAATTCATCAAATGACCTGATAATCATTCTGTAAAATAGAATCTTTTCGTAAATAATTGTCTTTTAAATTGCAGAGGCTGTTTCGATAGGTGCCTACAAAGAAAGAAGGAATGGATTTAATTTCACATGCTGGCTGCATTTGGTTGCGATCACGACTTGTCATTTCACAGAGTATTACACATAGCAGGGTCACAATTGCATGAGTCCCCTGCATGAGAAGATGTGGGAGTCATGGCAGTGTCAAGGCAATCCTCCAAGAAGCGTTGCACATTGACATAAGCGTATTTCTTAGGATTTGTCAGGGTTTCAACATGGTTTTCAATCCCTCTTGCGTCTTTGCCAATTGGATACATTGCATTTTCATTATTCGGGTTGCAAGCTAGTCAGGAATACGCCTAGTATTAAGCTGAATCCGCGATCCGCATTCCACTTGGATGGGAAATCCAGGGCTCTCTTTTTTAAGCAATTCAAAGTCAAACAACAAACTTGTTCGAAGCAGGACCTAGCAATGAGTTCTGGATCTGATGTGGAGGTGTCTGTTATCTTGAGAACAAGAATGCTCTGGGAAATTCTGGCCTTTAGCACGTTTGGAGTCGTGCAAAATCCTAATAAACACGTGGAAATGGAACGGAAAGCTGTCATGAAAGCCTCTTCAAAACGATCCGAGTCGTACATTTGCCCACGTGTCTCGAAGACGAGCGCGTGTCTCTGTCGCAAAGAGCCCTGAAGTTCCTTCACCCCGATGGGCAAACAAACGGATTCCTTCGATCACCAGAGTGGGGCGCCGTTTCTTCATCAGTTCATAGGCAAACATCGACGGGTATAGACGCTCAAAAAACAATCTAAGCACTCAATCCTTTTCCTCTTCTCAGGTCGAGTTCATGCTCGTGCTGTACAGCATGTACGGCAACGGAAAAATCGAATCCAACACAGGCATGTTCCATTGAACAGGATGCAGTTGCAGCATCCAGCATACTGTACAGCGCGAGTATGAACTCGGCCTTAAGTCCTCTCTTTTCCTCACCTTGTCGGGCGACGATGAAACTGGAGATCATTTCAGGAATGCTTGTTCCAGCTGCCAGAAACGTCAATCCCATCACGGTGTCAGGTATGCCCAGGGTGTATCCTAGTGAATGGAAAGAACAGGGGTAACTTTTTTGTAGATCACGTTTTACATCAGCTAAATTCACTGGTTTTAGGTGTAAACGTGACGCATTTCATTTTGCTGCGTACAGCCATGCTGGCAACGGGAAACTCCCATAGAGCTGTGTTTAAAAAAGCCCAAATGCAACAACAATCGGGTGTATTTCTATGGACGACTCTAAGAAAAGGAATAAAAAGGACCGCAGCATATGGCCAAGGAAAGTAGGGGGGGGGGGGGAAGTCAGATTCAGAAATTATAAATTTTTACGTTGCAATAATCTCCATGATGACAGAAGACATCGAGGCCTTGTTCTGTGGTTCTCACATTGTGCCATAGCCGTCGTGACCAGAAGCTCTTTCCTGCAGAAGAATGGATCGTGAACGGCGCTTTCGTCGCGGCCAAAATGGTCGCGGACAGTCCGTCGCGGACAAAACGTCGCATGCGTTTTTGGTCGTTGCACTATTTCGTCGTAGACTCCGCTTGTCGTACTCTCCACGTCACGAGGGCATTTTACAAAGACTGGGAGTAAATGCAGTTCGCGCAAGTCAGCGTATGGGTTCCTCAGATTTATGAGCAGTGGCCTTCAGCTCCCCAACTGCATTTGTCACGTGGACACGATCAGAACTGGGTGCATGATTGTGGTCGGATTTGGCCATTACTTCGTTTCTTGTGTGCATCCTACTCTTACAGTTTCGGAACTGACATCGCCATGCTGTCTTATCGAAACTTCGCCTCTCTGCAGCATAAACATACTCTTCATAGTCAAGCTTTTCTTTACTTTTAGATGTCTTTACCTCCCCTTCTCTTTTTCAACTGATACCCATAAAGAGCACAGGGTCCTATTCTTTTCTACCTTTTTTGTTCACCTTGCTTTCACCTATTTCCCTGGTGCGACCATTTTACAGTGACGAAAGCGCCAGTAATCGAATGGATAGCACGACCAGTGAGTAATAAATAGATTTACTCAAAATCTTCACGAGCATCAAGGCTACTACGTATCTTGGAACTACGTATGAGGCTCTTCGTCAGAATTAGGTCAATGGATGGGAAGCGTATGTCGAGCGATTTGGATGCGCAGCGACATCGTGCCCCTCCCACCAAGAGCCAGTGTCAGCTTCTGAGATCAAAGGAGAGGATTGCGTCCGTTTAGGAGAAATCCGAGTCTATCAGACAACCAATCAGGGCGTGTCGGCCTCATTTGGGAAGAATTTTGGAGAGAAAAGTACTTTGATTTCCGGACTCCTTCGGGAAAGAACTAAGAGAAAATCCCAACGAAAGCAGCAAAACAATAAAATTCCCCAGAGCAGTATATTCTTTGGAAGGAATTCTCCCCGAGAGGAGGCTTTTCCAGGAAAGTATTTCTCCATAAAAAGAGACGTCTCCGGAGATTTCTCAGACAAATCGTTCCTCGATAATGAAAAGAAACATCCGAGGATAATTCCCATATGTTCCGGATCGGCTCTGAGCTTCTTCCCTCCCTGTTAAGTCCCTGATACGTGGGAAGACCGCAATGAGATGCTTCAGAATTACCCAGAGAACTCCTTGAATACTTGAAAGCACGCGCTCATGGATAAGGCCGAAGAGAAATGGCCGTATGGGCCCTGCGACTATCCAAAAAACCAGATTCAAATGCACTTCCTCGTACAACAAACGTCGGAGAGGGTTAGCTCGGAGGTGGAGGGCTGCACTGAAATCCACTTAAACCTTGTCAGGAGTTTCGAAAGGCAGAGCTTGGATGAGGTAAGATGCAGAAGTATTGCAACGTGAACTTCAGAATCAAAACTTTGACCCAGAGTACATCTGGCAAGAGCGAAAGATCCCATCAATTTCATCGTATCCTCCACACGCTTATTCAGAGAATCAATGTATGTCACTTTGGAAGGATAGGGGATGGGACGTGCATGGGGCGGAGTTGGAGAAGGTGACCCTTTTTCTTCTGGGCTACGGTTTCTGAATAACTATGAATACTGATTGCTGGCAGGAGCTTTCCTGTTTTCGTCTAATCCGGGAAACTTCCGGCTGGGAAGTATCCGCATGGGGATATCTCCTTCAGAGATAACTTCTTCGGAAAATTGATCTATGGAAAATCTCAGATCAGAGAAGAATTCTACCTTCGAAATTTACCTTTTTTTAAAGGAAAAATCCGTTCGGAGATGAGCCCGTCCTGAGGCTCTTAGACCACGATGACATTCAAGTGCTTTTTTCTCATGAACCGGAAGTACGAAGCGATTGGATTGGAAAATCCATGCGAATGGATACCTGAATACATCTTCACCTAAATATTGTTGAGTCGCTTTAGTAAGAACCGTATCGTAATCAATCGTAGAGCTTTCAGGGGTGCATTTGGGGTATCTTTTATCGAAACTAGGGCACTAGGTCTATTTCGGGGGGAACAAAGCGTGGGAAGAAGGGGGGAATGGAATAGACAACAGAGTCAAAGAGATCGAAGTGGAAAGAAGAATCTCAGGGTCATGAGGAAGATCGTAATTATTCTCATGGAGGAGCAGAGGGAAACGAAGGACGCCTGCACAGAACGCACCATCACTTTAATTAAGTTTCAAAGAAAAAGTTGGTTTCATGGAGGCTTCATAGCGCAGTCGAAAAACAGGTAACTGGCATTGCACATGCTTGATTGAGTGAAACTTACATTACCGATCTTTCATTTTAAAAAAATACATTTTTAAAAGTCCTTATGAGAAAATAATAATAATTTCACGTAAACTGAGTCCCATTTAAGAACAATGGAGATGCGGAGACGCCCCATGTCCACAAAGTTCAAGCATCGTTGTTTTTGTGCAGCGAAGGTGATGTGAGATTACTTTCCCTCGGTCGATTTTCTGCATGACCTAGCAGAAGAGATTGGATCTGTCTCGCTCGTCCGCAGATAGGTAGGAAGGAAGGATGAAAGAAGATTTTACATCTGAGGTTATCAACCTTCTGAGACCATTTCAACGTAGGCGTTGCTCTGCTGTCCTAAATAGCAGATCTTGCAATATTTCATTTGTGTCTTCACAGGTTTTAGAAATACCCTTAACTCTTTCAGACCTCATATGTGGATAAATTTCCATGAATTTTCAGCACTTGTCCGTAACATTCTCAAAGCTTTGCAGCATGTCATGTTAAAACATATTGTATTAGTTGGCACGTGCATTTTTTATCTCATTATATTTGATGCTAGACAATTAGTCACTTCATGGTATCACTGCAATCGCCAAACGGTTCCAGCTCCACTCAGTTAAGTTGGATTTCCGCTTATTTGCAATTCTGATAAAAATCTCTTGTGAAAAACCATAATCAAAAGCGTGTCCCATTCTTTCCACAACGTAGGAATCCTCGAAAGGGCTTATCTCTGAACGGATTTTTTTCATAAAGAATATTTCTCAGATAGGATCTTTTCCCTGAAGGGCATTTTCCCCAGACAGGATTCTTCCCCTATTGGAGATTTTCCATATTAGTAACTCTCCCGAAGGAGATATCCCCATGCAGAGATTTCCCAGCCGGAGACTCCCCCGAATAGACAACAACCAACAATCGGCTGTGAACAGTGCCGCGTCCAGGATTTTCATCCCCTATCTGCGTTGGTGGTTTGGTGGGTTTGAATTCCCTTCCCCCCTTTCCATGAAATTGAAGAGAGGTGAAAAATACTGAACGCTCCGCTGACTGCCCAGTTGAAAATCCCAACTGGAATATTCCAGCTGGATCAAATCTGTAAATTCGGACCATTTCCAGCTGGCAAAGAGCTGGAAAACAGTAGGTACCAGTTGTTTCTTAGCTGGAATTTTCCAACTGGAATGCAGATGGTTTTAATAGCAGTTTCCAGCTGGAAATTTTCCAGTTGGAATTTTATAAAGAGGACCCTACAGTTGGAATGTAGCTAAATTTACAGTTTAAAATCAGCTGTTACTGTTGATGGACCTCGGCCAAAAATAGTCAAAGAAAAGATTCTCATTCAGTTAGTTATATTGCAATTAGGAACAACTCTGGAGTTGACTATTTTCCAGCTGTTGCCCAGTTGGAATGGGTCCGAATTTACAGCTGAAGTCCAGCTGGAAATTATAGCTGTTTCCAGTCGGAATTTTAAACTGGGTTCTCGTTGAGAAGTTCATGACGATATGGATAATCTGCATGGGATGTATTTTGTTTCTAGGCGGACTAATTTTATTCATTCCTTACAGTAAAAAATCCACATTCCCATGGTATATTTTGGTTTTGTCCTCTGCATGGGAGGTAAGGGAGAGGGGGTGCATTAGTTCATCCCTACCTCTCTAAATCATGGAAAATCCCCCTCCCTCCCCCTTCAAAGATACTCCCTGAGTACATGCTTACCCTGCTCTAAGTGTATAAGCGAGGAGGGAAGGAAGGACTGTAGCCTTTCTGAGTATGAATCACTCTAAAAGGAACATCCACTTTGATGCTTTCGTCGATGTTACAAAAAGTCCTAAATATGCTTTAAAGAATCCTTTATTGAAAGGTCAAAACTTCCATAATTCCTTTCTTGTCAATAAACTGGACCATCTGCTTTTCTCTCAATTTATGGATTGCTACATTTTGCATTATTGAGTAGCTGTTTAAAGTTCTAGGCTTTTATGACATGCTTCAAGGAAAGAAAGATCTAGCTTAGGGCATAGTTGGCTGAATAATCATAAGACCTATACCTACATTCTAGTGCTTGTGCATCTTCAACTTGTAACTTTCAACTTTGTCCACTGGCTTCTGAGTTGGTCAGCTTAGGGATAGATCTTAGCTAGAACCAATCTATTAGGTAGTTTAGAGGCCTCATAGCAACTTCACCCCTTCCTACATTACAGGAAAAAGGGTGAACCTGAGTATGATATTGTGATTGTTGGTGGAGGCATAGTTGGGGCCGCAACTGCTCGTGAGTTAATACTTCGGCACCCAAACCTTACATTTGCAATCTTGGAGAAGGAGAAAGACTATGGTGAGAAATGTATTCATTTGTGGCTTATCCTTTATGATTTGATGTGTGGGGCATTTTTTTAGCATGGAAAATTTTCTCTATTATGTAAGTTGTTCAATTAGAAATTTAAGTTACCCAATCTAAGAATATGCTCTGCCCTCCAAAAGTCTTGCAACACTTTTCTTGATTGAATTTCTCAGCACATATATCATTATCTAATAAAATTTTTGTATTCTCAGATAGCTTAATCTGTTATCTTTCCAAAGTACTCACTCAGGTCATGATTTGTGCCATTGTTTCTCTGAAATTTGCCTCATAAAAAACTGTTTGGTTCAGTAGAAGTAGAGAAAACAGGTAATAGTATAGTATGCATCCACTTAAGGAATATAATCAACTGTCAATTTTGGCACAACCATCTCTTGGAGGCATATGTAGGATGGGAGGGACAGTGGTTGCAATAAGACTAACAAGCGGGGGAGCAAGGACAGGGGGATGTTGTCAGGGACCAAGTCCCTAAAAAAAACGCCTCCTGCTCCCTCCCTGAGTACACCTCGGTACCATCAGTATATTATGTGTCCACTTGGTCAAGACCATCCACTTAGGCCCACATTTATTGCATCAAAAATTGGTGGAGGGGGCTTCACAGCGAGACTCCATTCTGGGACATCCTCACTGAGATCAGATGGTAGTACCCATTGTTGACACATACTATACCGATGGTACCGAGATGTACTCAGGGAGGGGGTAGGAGGCATTGTTTTAGGGGCTTGGCCCCTGACAGCTCCCTCCCGCCCCCACCCCTGGCTCATCAGCTTTATTGCAACAACCCATCCTCCTGTCCTGCATATGCCTCCAAGAGATGGTTGTGCCTAAATTGACACAGTTGACTGTATTCTTTAAGTGGATGTGTACTATACTATTACTGAGAAAACATGCTTCTTGTGTGCCATGAGAAGCTTGTTTTCTCAATGCACCTTAAGGAAAAGACTCCTGTCAGTGTCCTCCAAAACTCTTGCCAGCCTTTTCATGATACAACATCTTGGTGCCTACTCAGTTACCTCTCAGTTTGCATGTTACAAATAATAGTCCTACTCATAACTGAGAAATTTATGACAAGAAATGGCCTGAAATGACTAGGCAGCTTTGAAATGAAGGGAAACAATTCTCCAGTGTTCTAAGACACCATGTTTACCCCTCAGGCTTGCCAGGATTAAGAATGAGGTTGGGGTGATGTTTCTGTCATTGTTCCATTCAGAAATTCAGAACTAGATTGTTACCATGAAGAATTTTGGGATATGGTAGCTTAATTGATAGTAATTGTTGCTTTGCACAGATAAGAGAATAAGTCATTTTTTTCACTCTTGATGCCTTAGGTATCAAAATGTTGTATCTTGAAAAACTGGAAAGATTTTTGGAGGACACTGACAGGAGTCTTCTCCATAAGGTGCATAGAGAAAACATGCTTCTTACAAGGCATGAAAAAAGAGAAGGAGGTCTTCCAACAATTGGTAGGGGATGGATATTAATCATTCCACACTGAAAAACTGAACTAGACAGTTTCTGATGCAAATTTTGACCAAACAATATTCCAGATCATGACATGAATAGGTGCTATGCAAAGGTAACAGATTAAGCCAAATGGATAAGAACAAATAGATGATGTAATGAGAAATTCAATCATGAAAAAGTATTGCAAGACTTTTGGAGGGCAGTGTATTAAGTCATAAAGTTTCATAAGCATGCAGATCCCTGCAAAATATGTAAGCATGTGTGCCATGTCATGGAAAAATCCTAGAGGTAGTGGGTATACAATGAATATTTTCTTACTCATAATACATTAAAAGTGATTTATAAGAAAAGGCATAAGAACATGAGATTACACGAGCCATCTCACTGATGTCCTCTTGTGTGGAATCAATTATGGAGGATCTAATCAGTGACCCCAAATTTATGGCATGTCCCTCATGTGTTAGTATTCATTTAGTAGTTTTTGTGAAAAAGGTGTTGATAGTACATTATAAAGTCTTTATTTGCCATTGATTTGCCTCCTGCATTTAAATTGAAGCTGTGTATCTTGCAGCCATACATCAAAGTGGGAATAACAGCGGAGTCATCCATGCGGGGATCTACTATACCCCTGGATCCTTGAAAGCCAAGTTGTGTGTGGAGGGCATGCATCTCAGCTACAAGTTCTGTGATGAGCATAAGGTTCCATACAAGAAAGTTGGGAAGCTCATTGTGGCACGCAATTCTGTTGAAGTGAAACGGTTGCATGATCTCTTTGAGAGAGGCAAGAAGAACAATGTACCAGATATGGAACTCATTGATGGAAGTAGGATCAAAGAATTTGAGCCTAACTGTGTTGTAAGTACTGGTACTCCATTGATTATTATTTTGTTATGTTTATATAGTGTATATGTATCACTCAAATGAGTGAGTGTGAACTTGTTAATCTATGTTTAAAAAAATCCTTTCATAACAGGGTGTCAAGGCTATCTGGTCCCCTCACACTGGTATTGTTGATTGGGGACTTGTCACCAAACATTATGGGAAGCATTTTGAACAGGCAGGTGGAAAAGTGCACTTCAATTTTGAAGTAAAGGGCTTTCACATTGCTTCAGAGAGTCAGGGATCTTCAGCATCACACCATCCTGTTCGCATAGTTGATAAAAGGGGTCAGGTTTGTGACTGTCCTTTCAAAATTTGCTATTCCTGTTTCTCAGGTAATCTTTGAGAATCTGGATTCTTTTTTATTGCATGTCCAGGCTGTGCGGTGCAGTTATGTCCTGACCTGTGGAGGCCTTCAATCTGACAGATTGGCAGAAATGTCTGGATGCAGTAGGGAGCCTAGAATTGTTCCATTCCGTGGGGAATATCTTTTACTCAAACCAGAGAAGCAGAATCTTGTTCGAGGAAACATTTATCCAGTGAGATTCTCAAAAGCATGAACTCTCTGCATAGGCTATGGATTTTTTTTCATGAGCCCCCTTAAGATAGGTTTATCTTGTGAGATGTGGTATTGAAAAAAATATTCTTGATGCAGGTGCCAGATCCACGCTTCCCTTTCCTTGGAGTTCATTTCACTCCGAGAATGGATGGATCAGTTTGGCTTGGCCCTAATGCAATCCTAGCTTTCAAGCGAGAGGGATACAGGTTAGTTGCACTAGTCAAAAGCTACCTCAACTGGTTTTGATTTACCATCTGATCTCAAATCATGAAGGCTTTTGATGTAGCCTTTACTTTCATAATGCTGTTTTACCATGAAACCCAATGTTCATTGTATCCTTGGCCTATGATGTTTGTTTCTTGCCTACCATACTATACCATAATGGATTGGAAAGGAGGGCAAGATGATACAAGTTTATATTATTTTGTGTCATATTGATGATCTTGGCAGACTGTTTTTGTGAACAGCATGACATCTTATTAACACAGCTGGGGAGACATTGATGTTGGAGACCTTTGGGATGCAATTCGGTTTCGAGGCTTTCAAAAGCTTGCCTTCAAGTTCATGGGCTTTGGAACAAAGGAGATGATTCGATCTTGGTTTACTTCACTTCAAATCAGTGAACTTAAGTCTTTTGTTCCACAACTTACTTCCTCTGATGTTACAAGGTATGTCTAGAAACATAGCAAAAGTGGTAACATTTTCTTGGTCTCTTACTTTTGGTATATATGTATGACTATAAATTTTATCTTTTCTTTCAGAGGTCCAGCAGGAGTAAGAGCACAGGCAATGGATGGGAATGGGAACCTGGTGGATGATTTTGTTTTTGATGTCTCAGAAAAGGCTGGAGATGTGGGAAAGCGTGTGTTGCACTGCAGGAATGCTCCTTCTCCTGCTGCTACTTCCTCTCTAGCCATTGCAAAGATGGTAGCAGACAAAGTTGAACAGCAGTTTCAACTCCATTAGTTTCCCTAAAGTTGTTAAGCACTCTGATGAGACAAGAAAGGGATGTTGCTCTATCAATTGAGTGCATGGAGGTTATGCCTCATCATCTCATGTTCAAGACTCTCGTGTGAACTCATGCAATCTGTTTTCAAATTGCTTCAATTCCAGCAAGATTAGTCCTACTATAATATGTAAATTGAAATCTGTGTAATTGGTTTGGCTGCATTTTAGTGACAGGATACAATTGGCTTAGATTAGGTCTGACCTGTATTGACAGCATCAACCTTATATTTATCTTGAAGTCCCTCAGGAGTGGCTTAACTCGTAGAGTTTTTGTTAGAGGGAAGAAATTCCTCCATACCATATCTCATCCAAATGTTCTAGTCAAACAATTAACCCTTTTTGAGTTTGTGATTAGTTCCATATCCCATAATGAAAACTTCACCTTGAATTCTATATTCTCTGACCCTTGTGATACCTGTGGCATATTGCCCTTATAATTTAAGTTTGTTGTTTGATTTTCCATCAAGGTCTTGGATGATGTATATGGTGCTACAAGTATTTTTTTTTTTTATCCTTGACCTTCAGAATATTAAGTAATTAATTTGTTAATACAATATGGATTATTTGGGTTCAAGAGTAGTCCACTCCTCTTAGTTATGTATGGCATGGTATGTTTTGAACCTTGTCTTGTTTTTGTTCTTGAATCTCAATGGAAAGGTGAATCAAAATGGTCAGAGTACTCAGTGGTTTGTTTTCCAAGGGACTTGTGAAGAAGTTTGCCTTGTTATGGTTACAGTAACCCATCACTGTCTCTGACAAGTTACAAGAGTGTTGAATATGCCTCACATTGAAGAAATGTTTCAAATGCAATGAAGCTGTGCTTCTTTAAATCCATGAATTTAGCTTGAAATATACATGAAGTCAAACATTAGATGCTGGAAGACCTGTATCCTAGGTCTTTGGCTGGGATGATCCCATGCCACTACAGTTTGTACTGTGCAGTTCTTCTGAACCTATTGTATTTACAGCAAGTCACATAGGCTTCTTTAATATTCTCATTGGAATTGGATTTATTGATGTAATCATTGGAAAGGTTTCCTTTTTTTCTTCATCAATAGGTCTTATTTAGTGATATTGCATGTGCTGACTGCAACAAGTGCTTTCACAATGGCTGTAATACACAGAGCACTGTTGTTATGGTTCCTTGTGTTGATATTTACCATCATGTTGGTATTACATTTGGACCAGCGGACCAAATGGAGCTGGTTCATTGTGTTTGTGCCACTCTGGATTTTTGACTGTCTCTTTCTCCTCTACATCCTCTTCCGCATTGTGTCTTCGAGGTGGCGTCACGATTTTGACCTGTCCTTGCAAAGGAAGGGACTGTATCTTCTGTGCATTGTGCTTAAACTCAGCTTTCAGGTTCTTATTTGCATCAAGTTGGAGTATGACATGCATTCTCTCCGACTCTTCTATGTGTTCCTACCACTTTGGACACTCCTCATCATCATCCTTGCCTATCTATCCCGGAGACAATACCTCCTTATTCAATCTTAGACTTTAACAATCATTCATCATATATTTGTTTTACATTGGGAGGAAAACTGGATTCATTGTGTGAATGCAAGAGAGAATTTTTGCCATGGTGCATGCTTTTAGTCATTCTCCACTTCATTTAGTGGGATAGGTAAGTAAAAGTTTTGGTTCTCTCTATATTCATAAATAAATACTGTAGGAAACAACCCATATCAACTTTTATTCATATTAACAATTTTCAACCTTCAGGTCCACATGGAACACTGGTGTATATCTTGGATCTTGGGGAAGAGGACTGGATCTCAAAGAAGAAAGCTTCATATTCCTGTATCAAGAGAGGGCTACTGATGAAAGGGGTGGTTTATCGTCAGATACATCCAAAGTAGGTCATGTTCCATTATTTTGAATGTTGTAAATAATTAATTTTAAAATGTTTCAATTAATTCTTTAGAAAAGTTTTTGTCCTCACTAGATTGAGGATGTGAGAAAGACTCCTACAAAGCCCTTAGCATCCAAAAGGTAACTTTTTAGATATTATTCTCTAATGTACTAGTCTTCTTGGATGAATAACAATTTCTATCTCTATCTTGACTTAGTGTGACTGATATGATGACTCTTATTTATAATTTTGTGAGATGGGTTGAAGGAATAGGGGGAGAGGTTACAGGTGACTCTTATATGAAATTTTTTTAAATGAATTACCCTAGGAGTCTTTATTTTACTTGCACCCATTCTTGCTATTTGGATAAACTACCCTTGGGCCCTTGAGAGCTTTGCTTTTTAAATGCCTGCTTTAAGTATAATCCATTAAACAGATGAAGGACTCTATTCTCTCTTTAACTTATTGCAGAAATCACCTAAGTTTGCAATAATAGTACCAAGCCGGGTTGGGGTACATAGGATTTATTATTATTCAACTAGAATTGGATCATCCCTTTGAATGTTGCTCATCAAATCATCAGTTCATCCACCAGTCAAAACAAGAGATGAAAGATAAACAATATAGTATAAACATGCTATCCTTCACTCTCAAAGCAAGCATGCCTGTAATTGTTCTAGAAGGATCTTGTTAACTCAGGCAGTATAGGTATAACTTGGTTAGAGGGAGTTAGTCTCCTACTTACCTTGATTTTGGACCCAACAATCCAAATTCTGAAAGCATAAAATTAGAAAAAAGCCATTGTTATTGTTTCTTATAATTCACTGCAGGCAAAATTATCATTACTCATTGATGTAGAATCTACTATTAACCCTTCAAGCTGAATATCACCCTTCTGAATCACCAACTGAATCACCCTTTCAGTTAGGAATAATGTTCTAGGCTTTTAAAATTGTTATTGTAAAATTAATTAGTTTAGCTAATATTCAAATCCCTATTTTATGTTGTATGTTTCCCAACGTTTCTGTACTACATTCCATTATCTACCTCATAAAACCATAAAAAAATAGGCCAGGAAAGATACGTATTAGCTGAAATAGATGTAAAAGGTAAGACCATTTTTGAAGTGCTGGAGGAAATACAGCAGCTTCATATTGCAGTGGATTGCTGTCAACTTGACATGAGGCAAACTAATATAAACTGGGAATCCTGCCATGGCCTCAAGGTTGTGCAATCTTGTGTAACCTTAAAATATATGCGACAAAAATGTGAGAACACATGCAGCAGTTTAATTTTTTTTTTGCAGCTTTGCACAACAGCATAATTTCCTCTTGAGCAAATTTTATTTCAATTACTTTTGATATAAATAATTATTTATGCTTCATGTATACATTCTGGCCATATTAATAGAAACCCCCATCCAAGTATAGGATTTCCCAGTTAATATTTCAAGATTTGTGCATTTAATAAAATTTCACTGTTCAGAAATTATGCCAGGTGTGGAGTATGTCTATAAGTTTTCCACAGGAAAGTTTCAGTCAGTTCTGTGCAGTCAGTCATTCTTGGTAAGGCAAAGTATGACAATTTTTTTTCTTTTACCAGAACAGTTTACTCCAGATTGGCATGCAGAATTCCATTTACATCATTCTCTATCATCCATATCAATATCTCACTGCATGACTCATTAAGAGGTTAAAAAAATCTTCCAATTTGCAGAATGCAGCATATCATCCCAAGTTCAGTGTCTTTCCAACAAGAATTTAATGAATAGCTGCATGAAGTATGTTGAAAACTTTGTAAGCCTTGTCAAAGTCAGTCATTAAAGAGAGATAATGTATATACTAATCAGTATTGAAACTTATAATTTTCCCTTACATGTCCCAATTGTTCAATTCAGGACACATCCTTTCTGCCCATTAGAGCTGTGTATAATCACTCAAATCTGCCTTCCCTGCAGTATCTCTAGAACTGCTGCACCAAATCAACACAAAACTAAGCTGCAGAAAACTTGTAGACATTTAGGGAAAATTCAAACAGTTTCTGATCATTGGGTCACATATGACAAAATATTAAGATCCTGATGTGTTAATTGGGACACCCTGTACTTGGCTGGGAGTTTATTATTTAAGCCAGTACCTATAGCACACTGGATATCACAATTATATTTTCCCTACACAATAGATGTCTTTGCAGGTAACACAGTCATGTTGAATCTGCCTGAAGGGTTAAGCCATTTTTTCATTTTGCTGGGGAGTACTTTGTGGTTTTTGGAAAGTTTTTTTATGCAACAAAAATAAAGAACATGATAATGTATCCTTAACCCCTTAACTGGGAACTTTTGAACACATATGTGCAGTGATTCCATTGAGAGAAGGCAGGTGCCAGACCGCACATATGCGGCGAGTCCATTTAAGGGGTTAATATATTTCTTGTTACCCTTTCATAGGCCACCGCACTGCTACTGAAGAGCATAACTTTCCTTTTATTTTCAATTACCTGAAATGACATCATTTCAATAGAATTATTGTCCAAAGTGTCCATAGAGTAGTGCATGGATGTGTCTATAGAATAATTTCTGCAAGAAGGGAATTATTTATTTTAAGTTTTGTTCATTTGATTGTGTGTTGCACATTTTTGTGCCTATTACATGCTATTAGTATTGCTGATCATTCATGATTTGAAGAATTTGTAGGAGCTAGTTTGTAACACAGAGACTGTTATACTAATTTCCCAATACTTGCTTGTCAGTTTTGGAACATCCAGAACATCACTGCATCAGCATAAGAATTATGCTTCTACCCATATAAAATTCAACTGGTACAAGATTTGCATTGATGGTTAGAGTTCTTCTCCTCAATCCCCTGATTTCTTGGGACTTTCTGCAATTGCCTAGCAAATAGTCTGCTGTGAGGTTTAAAAAAATGGAGCATCAATGAGAAAACTAAAGCCTCACAATTGCTGCATATTGTCTGACCAATGATTCAACTCTAAATCCATTCTACAACTTAAAAAAAGGGGGAAAATAATACCATCGTTACATAACAGTAACTTTTACTTCTCCCATCCATGCTATGCTTATCATTAATTTCATGGGTGTTTTCTTTTACTTAGGATTCTTTTCTTGAAAAGTGAGAAAGTGAGGAGAAACATGCTTTGCATTCATACATGATAGCATTGGGAGGGTCCAATATTTTGCTGTTCCAATATGCCACTGCCACACAAGCAAGCACATATGTATTTACCCCTTTCAGCTGTTCTTTTCCATGTTTAAATTTTGTCCTTCAATCCTGGTCAGGATTTTCTGACTTTTCATGAATTTCATTTTTTCCAGATCATGAAAATGATCCATTTGGTTATCAATACCTTCTATCAATTTGACTATCAATACCAAGCAAGTACAGTTTTCCAAGCAGTTCCCCGTTGTTAACCTTTTATGACTATTTTCAGGCTCTGCAATTCTATTCAGGTTAGCTTGTGGGCAGTGAATTTTCATTTTTGGGTTTTAAATGTTCTTTTTCTAGGTAGGACATTCTATTCTACTCTTAACTGACCATTTTAATCACTTGATTCCTCTGGCAATAGCTAAAAAAAATCACATGAATTGCAAACAATTATGGTATATACACATATACAGGATAAGTGTTGGTTAGGTTCCTTTATATTCAAGTTAGTGTAGCTATATCTGTACTGCATAATTGAGCTGAAGAGGGATGGATACAGTATAATACTTACTCCTCTGTCTTGATATTTTCTGCACCACATAGCCTATGGAATCTGATTGATCAATTAATCAACTTCTTGACAACCTAATTGCTCTAATTAAACAAAACAGTTCCTGGCTAAATTAAATTAACATGATACTAAACTTGTAATTGAATGATTTAAATTCAGGATTGGGTTGTCTGTTTGCAGTTTATTTTTCTTAGAACACATACCCTTTTTTAAGCATAAGCATAAAGTTTTGCATTTTAACCATCATACCTTCTCTTATTTTGTAGGATGGTTGACTCTCAATGCTAAAATTCCCTCTCAAAAAAGTGAATTCATTTAGATGGACATGGTACTGGATTGATTTTTTCTTTTAGCTCCACAAAAGTATTGATTAATAGTTCAATAATTAATTCAAAAATGCATATCTTTAAATAAGTAAAAAAAAACTAAGTCTCTAAAACTTCAATTGAGTTTTTTGTTTTCCCAAAAGTGCTATGGTACTGAACATGTTAAAGAAGCACTAGTACTAGACTAAAACTGTTCAGTTTGTTTTCTTTTTGCATTGTAGGGAGAGTTTGGGAGTATACCACATCTGTGATGCTCATAGTTGATGAAGAATTTGACAGTTGGAGCATCATCTTGGCTGGGAAGGGGCCACTGGTTGTTGATCCAGGATGATTTTGGCTGCAGAGATTTCTCCAAGACTGTGATAATAAAATGAATTCATGTTACTGCTCCTATTAGCAGAATAGCAACTTAGTGTTCTGCTGTGGGTACACATTGAGTAATGATTTCTATTATTTAACTGAAAACATCCTTTTTAATAACTTTTTTCAAGAAAATAAAAGGAATTACTTGTTTGATCCTGTTTCTGTGCTCCTGTGTGCATCTATCCTCACATTTGCCATCCAAAAATAACTAACCAAAGGTTGGCCTTGGTTTTTATGCAGATGCATTCAGGATGTTCTTTAGTCCCACACCATCACTTTACTGCCAAGTTATGAGTGTTACCCCATGGTGATGTGTCTCTTAACTTAGGAATTTTCATGAAAATTTTCCCTCTACTATTATTCTTTCTGGAGTCAATAACTTAGGACTGGAAGTCTTTAGTGCAGACATCTCAGAAAGTAAAGGATTATCCTGCATGGCAGGAAATGAATCCGTTTCAGGCTTGTTAGTCCTAGGGAGCTTCTTTGATACCCCTTGGAAGTCCCTTGTAATTATCTCCAGGACTTCTCACTTGCCAGGATATTTTTGGAATGTACTGTATGGGGAGGAATAAATTGCTATGGTCAAGAATTTTAATATTACTAAGAATTAAAGAGGGTTCTATCTTATCTAGGTTCTGTTTTAGACAGGCTATACTGCATTTTGCTTGAAATCGATAAGAAATGAAAGAACGCTCCCTGTTGGACTGGGCTCGTTCGCCACATGTAGAATATAAAGAAATAAGCTCCATGCTCTTTCTATGGGGAAATGACAATCCTTTTCATAGAGGGTGGCACGTTTTGGGTGGACCCTGCCAGTGGAGTTTAATCATTTTTAGAAGATGCAGCATTTTAAATATTTTATCCCATCTCTTTATACCGTTAAAAAAAAAAATCGCCACGAATGGAATAGAACCTCATTGGTCCCAACATATCAGACCACACTTCGGTTTCGTCACATATTTACCTTCGTTCTGGCCATATCAGTTGATGTTAGTCCCTCATTCTGCAATGGAGTTGTGCTGCGATTTAGTGGTTGTACGCCATCCTTACTTCTTTGCTTCGGCATAGGACCCAAATCTTTCCGTTTGTCACATGAAATTCAGCACCAACCAGGGATCTTCTCGGAGTTGTGTTAAATTACCAAATTAAATTTGTAAGGTTCTACTTCTCTCAGAAATACCCGAATTTGATTTTTAAATGAAATTCTAATTTAATTTGAATTTGCATTCCTCTGAAGTGACGAATTCAAAATATAATGAATTAATTTTCAAGCACTCAAAATCCAATTATGAATCAGCGTATTCAGAATAATCAAGATCAATCTTTGGAATACTCAACCCAACTCAACTCGAGTCTTTCTAATTTCTAACTGAATGGAATCTTTTAAAGTTCAAATCAAAATTATTCCTTTTTTCCTTAAAACTCCTATAGTGACAAAAAAAAATTAAATTACCATGAAGCCATATGTTCTTGAATTGTATGCTTCTGGAAGAACAGTAGGCAGAGCAGGTACACTGGTGAGAAGAGGATGGGACACGCAGTACTCCAATAGCTCAAATGCAATACCGCCCTCGCGATGTTCAATGCGCGTTTTGTCCACCATCCTAAGGGAAGAATAAAAATGCAAAAGAATCTCCAAAAGGGAAGATTAGAAACTTTGTCCCTTCACATCAAAATCTCAGGTCAAATTCGTATTCTTCACATCTGGGTCGAACCAATCCATATTTGGAGGTGAATCTGTAATCAAAAGGCAAATCATACTCCGGGTCAGATTGGGCCTAATCTGCTTTATTCTTCATGTGTTCTACGAATAAGAAAGGAGGCTGCAGTCAGAATAATTCCTGGTCTGATTCACCCCCCCCCCCCTCCTCCATAGAAACGAGTTTCAACTATCCCCCATAGAAAATGAGTGAACTATTTGTTTTGAAACACCCTATGTATTATACACTGCGCGTCAATTGAAGTGGATATTTTGTATTTTCGGTTGAGTCTTATTTGAAGAATTCTGCTGTTACCTATTATTAAATTGTCAAGAGAAATAAATGTTCTTAATTTAAATTCTGTAGAATTGGGAATAATAAGTTGAAAGCCTGTCATTTATTTCACAACAAAAAATGCAACCAAGTTACTTTTATACAAGAAAATATAAACTATCCACTTCAATTGACGCGCAGTGTATCTTGTTTATAATCTTGTACAGAGCGACGAAACTTGGCCCTTCTTGTATTACCTTGGAGGGGTCCAGACTCTGAAAATCCCCTTGACCCAGTCCCTGCCGATGCGAGAGGAACAGCGGAGTCCCCACGGTGTAGACATGTTCCTTTGCTATTCTCCTAGCGCCATCAAACCTCTGCCGGGCATGAACCATGCCACATCACTTCACTTCTCTGTCTAGGCGTCCTCGCTGGTTCCTTCTCAATTATGATCAGAGCAGGTGAGATTTAATGTAGGACTGCAAAAGGCTGATTTGAAACCAGAATGGATAACCTTCCAGCCAGTTTGGAATTTCGTAGCAAGTTTTGCCGTTTTTATTTTTTATTTTTCAGATTTTGATCGCAGAATACCAATCCAGAACGGAGTTATGACTGGATTGATTTGTCTTGCAGATTTTCATGGGCATGTCTGTGCCAGCAGAAACTCAGTTACGCTTAACATCTGAGCCATTCATACATCATGCATGAGCTTATTGCTCATAAACACGCTCATTCTGAACTCTCATATTGTCCTGATTATCTTGGAGCATCCAGCGATGCCCATTTGCAGGCAAAGTTTGGAGATGGTGACAAGACGAATATTCTGCTTGAAGCTGGAGCTAGTTGAAGCTGTTCAGTATGCAGATTGATAAAATGTTCGAAAAGCTTATGCAAATGTTGACAAGATGCAACCAAGAGAATTGATGTTGACACTGTAAATGTTTATACATGGAGTGACCGAAAAGTTCTAAGTCCGAGGAATTCCAGTTTCAATGCACTTTTTTTTTACCTTTCTCTTGAGAAGACGTGTCTTTTATAGTGACTGGCAAAATTGCATCATATTTGTCGATTACAGATAGCGTCTGTGTTTTTTTTTTTCAATTTGCTGGGAAAAATGGGGGGGTCTGCTGAAGAGCTATTACCATTGAGATGAATGCTGTGATTAATTTTCTAATCTCTAAGGAGTTGATCTCCCTGCATATATTTTAAGCAGCTAAGAGGATGGAGTCATACTAATAATTTTATTAAAAATAATTCTCATAAGAGTAAGAATGGTGTATTGCAACTGGAAGTGCCTCAGGCTCAGAACTTTCTGATCACCCTTCGTACTTTCTTGATTACGTTAGAATATTAATCACATTTCAGAAACGACGCCATCTTGCATGCCTATCGTCGCAAAACACAACGAACTTTACCGCCTTCTTTCGGAAATCTCAAGGCTACCATAGGATTCCTCTGATACTGTCGTACTCCGATCGAAAGCAGAACTCTTACCATTCCGACACTTCCACGTCACACGTCTCAATGGCTCACTCAGAATTGCACCAATTCCTTGACACCATGCAGGCCAGGTTTCTTGCTCTGAAAATTGCAAAGGATGGGGATTATGAAGGAAGAAAACAATGCATGTTTCTGTGCACAAAAAGGTATTAGATATTGGCAACGAGTGATAATATGCGATAAAAAAGCTTCCATGTGATAACCCTCCCTTTTTTTCTAGATCTGGCAACCAAAAATTTTGCAAAGCATGTAGAGAAGGGTATAAGGGTCTCGTAATGGTGTTTCTCCTGAGGGAGAGCAGGACAGTGAAGTCCTGGACGGAATGTTTTTCACTATTTTTTATGGTTTCTCGACTGCTACGAATTTTATGCGACATTCCACCGCAAGACCTGATTGATGTTGATAGAAACCCGCACGGAACCGCATCGAAGAAAGCCGAACCTCATCAATCTTTCACATTTTTTTTTACCTGCTTAAACTGAGTTATGGCGATTCCCGTCTTCCACCGAAGCGGAGAATAGCCGTTGTCCGCTCCCATTAGGACCAAAACGCCAAAAACTACTCCTTGTCATTTGTCCATCCGTCTCAGCCGAAGTAGGCATGCAAAGAACGTGCTCCGAACGCAAGATGACCTTGCTCATCCACACAGCACACTTGGAGGTGGAGAGGCGGGAAGGTTCCTCCCTTGTCAGATTAAGATCATAGTGTCTGAAAAATGCCTAGCATAAAAAAAATTGAACGCCTTCCCCTTGGGTGAAGTAAAAACTCTCTTGTCATTGCTCAGAATTCCATACCGCCATCGTGGTGGATTCCAAAAAGATCTTTTCATCTTTGATTCGATATACGTGAATGACGACGCTTGCAGGAGCCTCGACAGGGCGATGAAAGAAAAAGACAGATGGATCCGTCTCGCCCAGTGGCACTCGATCGCTCACTTTTTTTGTTGCCATGGTATCTCATGAGACGTTGCTACTGTTTCTGACGGCACAACTGTCCGCTAAGTCAAAAGCATCGATTACTGCCAAACAATAACGACGTGACTCGTTCAGGGGAAATCAACCGAGGCAAGGAATGTGTCTGAGAATCTAGGATGAACCATTTTTCCGGTTGCTACTGTTGTCGTATGGTTAAGTTTATACTGAAGATGGGGGTGATTCAACAAGTAGTTGGGATAATGAATGAATGCCAATCATCTCCCTCCAGCTCCGCCCCGAGTCAAGAATAAGCCAAACAGGAGGAAGTGGGAGCGATTTTTTTGCATTCACAGCATTTGGGACATGTTCGAAATCGTTAGAGAAACGATGTCGAGGCCTGACACATCAGACTTATTCAAGTGGTTGAAACGCCCCAGTCCGGTTTCCTCAGGTTCACCGTCCCTTATGAGGCACCTCTGTGTTCTTGAGAAGTCTTGCCTCGTTTCAACGATGAACCATTCTCACTGAAAGAGGATCCCGACCGTGTGCCCGAGATCTTCCAGGTACGATAAGGACCTTCACGATATCTGAAAGTATTCATCTTTCCATTGCTTTGGAAAGCTATTTAATAGATATTCGCTGCCGACAAGCTGACCTCAAAAGAAAGTCGACTCGGCCCCCCAGTCTTTCCTCCATCTTCACATTTCATTTCTCCGCACGATAATGGTCATGGAATAAGGCATGCTTCCACTATGAACCCACATTGTCTGTAACGTGCTTGGACACGGACTCTAATAGAACGACTCCAACCGTTACGCCGCGTTTTGGTTGCAACATAAAGCCATTGTTGTTATCTGCTTCTCTTCTACCCATGGTGCTGCTCGAGAAGGCAACAATTGTGAAAGATGACTGAAGTCTTCCGAGCGGCCTTAATGATACGAGCGCGTCAGACACGACGTTACTTCCCACTACCCTCCCTCCTGCTTGCAACAGGCGCTCGGCCTCCCCGTTAAGCTTATCGCTCCCGCACCTCATGTTTTCAACTTCATCCTGGGGCCAAAGCTTCAACCCATCTCATATAATTGAGCAGTTGGGACGGGAGGCTCCTCGTCACTGCGGCAATTCACGATCCATTGCCGTCATCGACCCTCACGCAGAGAAATTGACACAATTTAAAGTCCTGCATGGATTTATTCGAGCAATTCGAAACGGAACAGCCCGTCATTCCTTCCGGGCATCACGATACCGGAAGAGAAGGCGCGCAATTATGTATATTGGGGCCGTGTGCGGGAGTGAACTTGACCTGGTGCCGATGTGAAAGCGTCAATAGATCCCGTGACGAAGAAAGCCTGGAATTTCGACCTTCCGCCGTTTACCGATGGGTAGTTTCCTCGTACATGCGCGGTCTTCAGGCGGAAAATCGAGGATGTAACACGGTGTATCCGGACCTATTCTAGTGGGTGTCACTACCCTGGATTTTAAAACTGACATTTCTCCTGCAAAGAGGTTCGCTTAAAATGCAATGAAGTAACCTCAATCTCAGCACGAGTGCAGAGCTGAACTCTGTTTCTCTATGGGAATTGGCTTTCTGCTCACTTGCAGAATGGCACTGTCCTTGTTATAATATCAATGGAGACAACTAATACCCTTCTTGTGCATATGGAAAAAAAAGAACAGATCAGTTGAGCGCTCTTGTGCTAGGGTTTCTTTGTTCTATAATTGGATCAGGTGAGATAATCATGCGAGAGACCAGTTTTAAGACTCGGAAAACTTCTAATCCCGAGAACTGCTTAGGAGCTTTTTGGGGAAAAAAAATGTATAGGACTGTACTACAGGGCTGAACCTCAAGTGAGCGACAGTAAGATGCTTCGAACAACTTTCTCAAATAAATATTTAAACAAAGAAATATGCGGAAGAGAGACGCATGACTGCCACGGGTGCGGTTTGAGGCCTGAGGATATTTCCCGCACTCAACGCAAAGAGAAATTCATTAGGATCCGAATCTCTTCTCATTTCACCGATACATCGGTATCTATCCAGGCCCAGGTGAACACGGCTGCAAACATGCGAGTCACGGGAACTCAAGAAACCATCTGCATGGCTACTATTACAGGAAGGGGGGGGGGGGGGGGGGGGGGGGGGGGGAAACCACGGGAACACGAAGACTCTTGTTTTCGTGCATTTCATGTGTCTTTTCCTTCTTCCCTGTGCTTTTCCTTTTTTTTAAGCGGGGGTGGGGTGGGGTTCAATGACGCTACGCCGCTTAATATAAACTATGGGGAGCATCCTCATTCACTAACGAATCAGCCTAAAGTCACATCATTAAATTACTTAATGATGTGATTATTCAATATCACCAGCTGACTGCCGCAAGTGCTGATATTTGGAACAACGGATGAAACCAGAAGAGATTCCTATCCCAAATATCGAGGCGACTCGAGAAACCTTACATTTAGAGAAAATTCTGCTTGCACTGTGTTGCTTCATGTATTTCTTAAGAAGCCTTGACTAAAAACACGAGTGGAACGCCACCCACTCAAACGATCCTAAAGAGGGTTAACATTACGAGGGATGGGAAATAGGAGAAAGATGCAAAATACCCCTCGTATTAGGGTGCCAGACCATTATGCATTCCTCTTTCGCAGCATATATCTCCATGCTGATGTCCTCTGTGGTCCTTACTAGTCATCCTACTTTTCCCCCCTCATACATACAGTAAATGAGAAACAATAAGGCTGAGAAAGCTACCAACTTATTACCATTTGCCTAAATCCTCATCCAAGTCACGCAAGATGTAGTGGACCCCAGGGAGGCAGTGGGCCCCAGAGAGGTCCACTTTCCCGGATCCCCACGTTCGCCTTCCGGGGTCCCTCGAGACGTTGCCCAAGCAACACACATCTAAATGACGTCCATGCGACGTTACCGCAGCGTCGTTTAGCTCGAGTCACGTTGCATGGATGTTCATGAGGAAGAAATTTCAGGTTGGTAGCCTCCTACTTTAAATGAGCTGCGTATCTACAGCATGAATCCAAAGCGTTAAAGAAAAAAACAATCGTCTGGATCCCTAGGAAGAGTTTGGCTAGAATAAACACAGCCGAGAAAAACGGCTGGAAAAGTAGGGAAAGAAAAACGTAGCATACAGGCGCAGAGGGAATTCTCGACCGTGAGTGGTACTCCAGAGTTCTCCTATCTCGTGCCGTGCTTCATCGGAATCTCGTCCATTACAGTCTGCAAAAATGAGAATACGGTTTTAAAATTAGGCTACAAGTAGAGCCTGGCCATCATAGGAGCTTAAAAATAATGCTTCAACAGGGCCAAAGCCCAGGGTTGTTTCGCCCGAGTGCCAAGAAAAATTACTTCGTCCGGTGGAACATGGCATACTGCAAGTGGGGGAGAAAGAAACAGAAGACGAGGAAAGAGAGAGAAGGTAGGGGGGGGGGATCTCTCTCCAACCTCCTCTCTTCTCCTTCCGAAGAGTCAGTTTCTCATTTTTCGCTGCTTGAGGATGTGGAAGCGCCACGGCCAAGTCCTTATTTCCCTGTCTGCATTGCCACATGGAGTATTTATAGAAATTACACTTTTTTCGGCGTCGAAACGTGGAGTGACCGTTGAACATCGACATGAAATATACATTGATATGGGACCGACTCCCACGTGGAAACAACGTTGAAGTTGAATACCACTACCACTAGATGATGATATCCATCTAGATGCAACTTAGCTTACGCTATTTCCGGTTTCCCCTCTTCTTGTTCAGATCAAGCAGTACCGATCGTACGCCTTCGTGCGAAATTCTTTAAACTTCTTGTTAGTCCCGAGTTCAAGTATGGAAAAATGGAGAAATAAATTACCATAATAGTATCAGGAAACCTGGCCGCTCCTTTTTATTGACCCTAAGGCAACTACAAGAGCAAATTACTGGGGCAATCAGTTTGGGACTTTTTTGCCAGAGACTAATTCATC